TTTTGGATTCTAACAGTGGGTGTCTTTGGGTTTACAAAGTGCATGGGACTCTTTTACCTTTTTTTATTCCGGATCCATTCTCCAGTACTTCCAAATATAGTTTCCTAGATACTTAAATTCTTTAACATTGCTTTAAACCCATCTCAGTCGCTACAATTAACACAGGCTGTTTTCAACTGATGTCTGCCTTTCCTTTTGCTGCTGGTTCACAGAAGGACCTCACTGTAGGAGGTGGATAACAAGAAACTGGAGGATTGTCATGAAAGCACCCAGGGCTGGAAACTTGCCGTGCTACAGACAAGAGAGGACTGTAAGATGGTGTTGTGACATAGTAGTGAGGTTCTGTATAAAATATGCTGATTGACAGTGACCGTCAAGTTAATGGGCAGATAATTACTTTACCTCAACTCGTTTTACCCTTTTATACCACAATGAAATAATTTATGGCGTGTAGACTACTGGTAATTACACATCTGATTCTACACCATGAGTTTTGGTGCACTGATGCTAAGCTGCTCCTCTGTGAGATTTATGGGAGCAGTTCTGGTGCACATTATAAAGATATGTAGTTGACGCAATGAAAAGATATAAAAACAAATAAGAAAGTATACCTAATCAGTTTAATATTATTACAATCACAAGTGACCAAGTGAAACTCTGTCAGCCTAGAAAGCCTTCATCAGCATAATGACATTACTAGACCAATGTTACAATCGCCAACTGCCCACCTGGAGTGATGGTCCCAATGCATTACGTCAATCCTTTTACAAGGCATCATGACATGAGTTTCTCTCTTGAACAATCACTACTGTCAAGACAGACTTACCAGGAGGTGAAAATGGGTGATAGTGTGTTGATCAGAACCAACATGTTGACATATCTCATAGTGAGGTTTTATCGCAGCATGTCATTCAATGAACACGTTGACCATGTGATAACAAAAGCACACAAAGGTCTATTTGCAATGAAGGTTATTGCTGCTTCCAATATCGAGCAAAGACTACTAATATTTCTGTTCTAAGGGCTGGTCCTGTTGCCCACTGAATTTGCTTTAACCATCCTCAGTGTCAGTGCTACACAGAATAAGCGACTTGAAAAAGTACAAAATAAAGCCATACATATTATTTTGGGATTTACAAGAGACACTTCCTGCATAGCACTGAGATATCTACTTGACTTTGCAACCATGAACCAAAGAATCAGGATCTGGAGGTCTCAGGCATGCCTAAAAATATGCGCTGATAAGAATCACCCACTGCATCAAACACTTTTTAATGAAAAGGGTGACCGGCTAAAGAAGAGAAAATCATGTCTAGGTTGTGCAGAAGATGTTATCAAGCAATTATGCAGCCTAACCGACATCACCCCTGATGCAGAGTGGATACTAGTCTCATGCATTTATTTGTACATTTTCCTGTACTGCCACACTCAACAGGTGATGCAGGAAACAGAATCCTGTTGCTGTCAATGCAAAGGTCGATGCACTCATCGATGAAAATTCAGACGAGGCAGATGTACTGATTTACACAGATGGATCTGTTATACCCCTATAAAGAAGTACATGGGCATTTACAGCACGCTCAGTGGGCAGAACAGTCAAAGAAGCCAACGGCACTTTTTTCATGACAACCCGCAGCATTAAAATGGAGGTGATGGCAGTAATGGCAGTAACACAAGTGCTCATGTGGCTCAAAACACAAAACTACACTCGCTCATGAGTACTCAGTGATTCAATGAGTATGATCCGGAGGGTTCAGGCAGGTTCAGTGCGAAGACAATGGCTTGAATCATTACAGAAGTCCACTGTGCATGGAGTCACCTTTACTTTCATTTCGGGACACACAGGCGTCGATCGAAATAAAAGAGCTGAAAAGTTAGCTGGATCTGCTATCACTACCAACGTTCAACCTATGGATCATGCCAATATTATTAATGCCCTGTGAGAAATGTGGAAGGTGGAGGACTTTGAGGGCAGTGAATCCACATCACTCGCCAGAATGATAAACTTGGGAAAGGACATCAGAGGACTTGTTAATCAACATAGAACTGGTACTATTAGCCACCGGACGCTGTGATTCATACTGAGGGAAGAAATTGAGCACCTATGAACATGTCCCGAGTGCAATAATTATAACCCAACTAACTAACTTACCAACTCACTAACTAACAATCACAAAGAAATACCCCCCCCCCCCCCCCCAAAAAAAAAATCACTTAACTGAGGTATATCCAGGAAAAATCCACATGTCTGTCTGACCTGGCAACACTATGAGATGTGTGTGAATACCAGAAATGAATACCAGCCAGAAAATGGTGTGGAGGGCAAGGGTAATAACTCGAAAACATTAGATAAAGCTGTGCTGGACGTTAAGTCCCTTAGGTAAATTAGAGTCCATGAATGTGGTCCTTAGCCAAATCACAAAACCAAACCTATCTTCAAAAGTAAGGTAACAGTTCTGTTCTCATGTCTTGAGGTATACTGGGTTTATGCTGCTTGCCTTATATTTTTACTGATGAATCTGCACTCAGCAGGTCACATCGCTACCAAACCGACCATCTTTACTTCTCAAGACACTCCCTGGTATCTGTATTAGGCGAGCTGATCTACAATCTGTGTCAGAACTGATTGAAAGTAAACGTGACAGAAGGCTGTGGATGGATCTGACTACCGATGCCACATGACATGGACAATAAGAAGATCTACAAACACAGGTCAGTTTTACTAATCAACATCCCTGGATATTAGGGCTGTACCGAATAGTGATTTTTACTATTCGGCCGAATACAAATAACGGGACCAACTATTCAGCCGAATACAAATTCAAATAGTGTAAAAAATATATCTAAAAAAAAAAAAAAAATTCATAATGTCAAATGTACGCTGAACTTTTACTTTACATAAAGTAGCACAGAATAGTCATCTTCTTTATAATTCTGAGCCCTTGAGGTATACTGCTGCAGATATCACTCATCTCCATTAATCTCTCCGGCTGGCCTTCTCTTCACAATTTGTGACACTAGTTGTTTGCAGGTATGGCTGGACATTATCTCTCGAACTTCTTTTTTGTCTGCCTTGTGGTCTAATCCCAGTCTTCTCTCAGGTGTATACAGTTTTACTTCTCTGTCATCTGACATTCTTTCAGTATGCCCCAGCCATTTTAGTCTGTTAGCTCTCATGATGCCAGTGATCAATGGTGATTTAAACAGGTTATGTGTTACGTTGTTGCTTCTCACTCTCCATTCCCCACTGTTAGCATCTTTGAGGGGTCCAAAGATTTGTCGTAAGACTTTCTTTTTGAAAACCTGTAATAAGGCCTCATCTCTTTTATTTCTGCTTCAAGTTTCAGAGACATATAAAACGACTGGTCTTATGAACGTTTTACATATTTTGATCTTGGTGTTGCGAGACAGACACTTTGACTTTAGCAGATGTTGAAGGGCATATTATACTTTATTTCTAGATTGTATTCTAGATTGTATTTCTTCTCTCAGCATGTTGGAGTACCCAAGTACTTATACGTTTTTCGTTCCTTTGATTTTCATATTGTCGACTTGGATGTGGCCAGAGTTTATATTCTTTCCATGTCTAGTTAGTATTCGTACAGAATAATAAACATTAAAAAAATGTTATGTTTTGCATCTTTCAGTCAGTCTGTGGTAACTATTAACTAGGAATGAAAGAATCCAAAGTATTATAACAAGTAACTAAACTTGGAAATTGTCACTGACAGCTTAGTTAATGCATAAAAACTGCATTAGCTTTCAACAAAACCAATCGTTTCATGTTGTCAGTATTAGGGCCGTGTATGCAGAAGCGGATGTAAGGTAAAAACTATTTTTATTCGGCCCGACCGCAACTATTCAGCCGAATACCAAATTGTCAATAGGTCCACTATTCGGCCCCGAAGCGAATATTCGGTACAGCCCTACTGGATATCTAACAAATCTATTTTACTTAACAAAATTACATGCTCTGTCCTGTACCCACCTGTGTCCTTCCTGTCGCTTTTTCTCTTCCTCTGCCTCCTTCTCCACTTTCTCCCTGGCCTGTCGTCGCTTCTCCGCCAGACGTGCCTTATACTCTTCAGCTGAGATGTCCTGTGTTGGACCCATGCTGGTACGTAATGCAGTAGTTCCATCATCAGCAACAGGAGCTACTGGCAGCTGTGGGGATGTAAAAGCAAGGAACCCATCAGAACTTGACCCCGGTGTCGAAACTGCTGGCCCATGTGTCGGAGTAGAAGAAGCAGCTGGAGGATGGGAAATAACTGGAGTTGTGCTAATAGACTTGTCCGCCCCTTTGTGACTAGGTGAAGCCATCCTGACTGAAGCTTTTTCAGGTTTTCTAATAGGAGACACAGAACGAGCTGCAGATGTAGGTGCAGGACCTCCACTTGTAGGTGTAGTTCCATGGTGTGTCTCTTTAGGTTGGACAATCTTAGGGACAGGCTCTTTTGTGTGCGTTGGAGACTGCTTCTCTTTCAATGAAGATCTCTGTAGACAAATAAAGTAATGTAGTATTTAACAAACTGATTTACCAGTAAATATGAGTGCGCCCCCCCCCCCCCCCCCACATCCTTTCTTTTGTTTTTAAAGTTACCTTTCATTAGAATGCAACTTCTTTCTTGTTACCCCCTTTTTTCAACAAAAACATGTTTTCTTTCATAATATCAGCTGTTAAAACTGACTCTAGGTTTCTGTCTTCAAATAGTGTGTCCAAAGCTGATGATTCTAAAGTTTCCATAATTGGAGACTCGGTCTCATTAGATGAATCATTTGAGCCACAAATTACATTTTCAACATGCTCGTGTGAAACCAAAGTTAGAAACCATATTATTTCGATACACCCAATCTTCTTCTGCTTCTTCTTCTTAATGCTCAAGGCTGTAAGCTCCAGCAGAAAGATCTGGTTGTTCATCCATACCTGGACTTTGGTCTTGTTCCAGAACTTGAGTTTTTGCATGCACATCTGTTTTACAGATGTAGCTTATTTGTAGGCAGATGGTTCCTTACCTTTTGGGCTGATGCATTCTGACTTTGAAGAAACATCCCTAATTGGCTGCCTTTTACAAGATGAATTGGGGTGTAGGAGGAAGTGGTCTCCCCCCCCCCCCCCCCCCCCCCCCAATGGGCCATGGGGCCCTGGAACCCACAGTAGTAGGACTTATTCTGAAAGTGACGAACCAATTTAGCTAAATAACTTGACAAACATCTGGCCTCAAGTATTTACTGAGTTTTCATTGACTGACTAAACAGTTTTCCTTCTTCTAAAGAAAAGTTTAAAGTAGTCCCACTACAAATACTCTGCTAGCGTACAAAGTATTAGACCTTCACACATTCTACGTCACAATATATCATTGGCACTTGCAATGGTATTGTGATGATTTATCTCTGAATGCATTTTTACGGGCCTTTATTTGTTACTTTAAAAAATGTCAAAGGCACATATATAAATTCCTATGAGAATAGGTAAAGGCAAAGTATTACTTTCATGCTACTACAGGTTTTCAGAGATCTCACTATTCAAACATGACTTTATCGAAACAAGGATTTAGAATATATACGTTGTTCATAACGATATGAGGTGGAAAGGTCAGTATCATTTCTCGTTACCCTTTTCCTTCAGATAATTCTGGAAATTATCTGGTAAACATTTTTATAAAGCAGAGATGGTGACCCTGGAGCTGTCTTGTTTTCAGTTAACATTAAATACTTACATGACACACTTCACAATAATTAAATCACAATTAATCTACAGAAATACTAACAATTATTATCAAATATTAATTAAATTTGTAATCTAATTAAAAATTAAAACAAATCTTAAATTTAAGATTTCCTTTTGATTGAAACATTATTAAAATATTGCTGAATTTTCTAATTTTAAAAACATAGTGTTTCAATTAATTTATTTACACTAAACAAATTTAAATCAACATTTCCAATTTCAAAACTTTGCTAAAATATAACCAAAGATAAATGAGAACACAAACAAACTCTTTCTATTCCTAAAAGGGCACCAAGTGTGATCCGCTACTGACTGTATCAAACGATAGTTGGTGTTTGATTATGTCTTCACATATGGTTGGAACATACTAAAAACAGGTGGCTAGATATTTTAGAATAAAATTGCCACTTTGGAAGTGATATGCTCATACATTTTTATTATGATTATTGTTCCCTTTGGTAATCTGATGTGAAATCTTCTGGGACTGAGAGATAACAAATGTTCGCTTTTCAGTTACATATAAATGAGAAAAATTCATGCTTCTAGAAATAATAAACAGACAAGAAACCTTCAGAAATAGTATAGTACACATTTTCACATGTATTGATCACATATATACTGTCAAGCATATCCTCCTATATAAATTCTTCTTCTTCTTCTTCTCTTCCACCTTTTACCTAATCGAAGTGTAGGGGGGAGATGTAATGTTCGTTGATGAGCTCTGTCAAGAGCACTATTAAGACTGATGTTCATTTCTGTAAGGTTGTTCATAATGCCATCACTCCATCTTTTCCGAGGTCTTCCACTCCCTCTATACCCGTTGTAACGTTTTAGTGTGGCTCGCTGTGGCGGATAGTACCAGGGCATTCTTGTTAGGTGTCCAAACCACTTCATTTGTTGTTCTTTGATGACCTGTATAAGACTGGCTTTATTCCTAGCATTCGTCTGATTTCATGATTTCGTATTCCGTCTTTCCTTGAAACTCCTGCAGCTCTTCTAAGGCATTTCATCTCTGTTGTCACAATTTTACATTCATTGGAGGATGTAAGTGTCCACGTTTGGCATTGATAGCATAGTGTTGGCCAAAAAATAGTTCTGATAAGATTCACTTTAGTACTCCGAGGTATCTGCTTGTGTGTCAACAGGGAAGATAGTTGACCCATTACTTGATTAGCTTTGGCACATCTGGAGCTAATTTCTCTGTCCAGTTTTTCATCGGATGTAAAAAGTGCTCCCAAATATTTAAATTCCTCTGTTTGTCTCAGGGTGTTGTTTTTTAATTTAATTTCTAAATTGTCTTTATGTCTTTGTAGTGTTTTTCATATTATATTCCTCCCCTTTGTTACTAATTTGATTTAGGTGGTTCTGTATGCATTCCGTATATTCTGCTATGAGTACCTGGTCGTCGGTGAAGAGCAATTCTGTAATATCTTCTTCATGATTAAAGTTCGTTTTACTACATATGGTATCTATGTATGTTATAAAAAGAAGCAGCGATAGTACACAGCCCTGACGCAAACCAGAGTTCACTATAAAAGTTTACAATTAATTTTATAATTTTATAAGACTGGAAAAATTAGGCCAATAATGTGGTATATGGTGTTACTGAAGTTAATTGATTCATTTCCATCACCTTCTAAAATGATAATACAATCACCTTAATATGTACATAATATCTGGTTAAGGTATATACTATTTGATTTGAACACAGAATAATTTATTGCAGTACAGAATAAATGAGAAAAGCTTAAATAATTACTGACTGAAGTATGAAATCTAATCAGTTAGATAAAAGCATTGAAAAATTAAAGTGTAAAATATTTGATTACAGTATAAATTTTTAAATTATAGTAAAGAATATTTGATTAAAGCATAGAATAGTTAATTGAGGTATAGACTATTTGATTACAAAATTGCATATTCGATTACAGTACAGAATATCTGGTTTTAGTATAGAATGTCTCATTAAAGTATTATCAGTTTACAGTACCGAATATCTGATTAAAGTATAGAATATATGATTATAGTATAGAATATATTATTTTTATATAAAAACTATCAATCCATATCATCACTCTAGGAAAATATAGACTGTGACATTAAAGACCTTTTTCATCGACACAGAACGACAATAGACACTGCTACCCATCAAGCAATAGATCCTAAACTGTTCCTTCGGACAACCCTTACTGACAAAAATAGAAATTGATGATGATGATGATGATGATAAGTATACAATATCTGATTATAGTACACAATGTATAACTAAAGCACACAGAATACATGATCACAATCACATCAGGGTATTCAGTGCAACAAATGGTAAGCATTTTATTAGACATACCATTTCATCAAAAACTTACAAGACACAGGCAATAAACTTATTACTAAATGATCTGTGAAACCCCCTCCCCCCCCCCCCTTTCCATGAATGTATTTAAATGCAGAATATATGATATAACATGAAATATATGATATAGCATCCACAATTTTTTTTACCAATCTTCTAAACATTGTCAGCAACTGGATTTGAATTTGCCAGCTCTCAAGTCACGGGTGGATACAATTAAGTCACAACATTATATTAGATACCGCATTTGAACAAAGAATACACAAACAAACTGCACAATTTATTTCCTGGCACAATTCATACGACATAGACAGTCAATATGTTTTGGGCATGTTATGAGAAGGAAAAGACTCATAAACCTGGTAACAACTTGCAAGAAGATGGTGAAAAAAAAAAAAAACAAGGGAAAGGTAAAGAGATAAATACTTTAATGACTCAGCCATATCAATGGGGCACGACCAGTGCCCTGACTTTATCCCCAATCATGTGAGATAGTGAAATCAAGACAGCTTATGTTTCACCATGGCACAACATGGTGGTGATGACAAAGGTGACCAAAGCTTTTTTTTTCTAGTGGTAGCAATGGTCTACAGTGTCAACATTACCAGCATCATTTTCTTAGTACTACTGTAATGTGCATATTGTGGTGAGTACTGACACCTTTTAAAAAAAACACTTTAGGGTGAGTAACAGCACCTTTCCTCTAGATAAAAAGCTCTGAAGACTATGATGGTCATTCAGATGTTTTGTTGTGTCTTTGTTTAAATTTACCACATGAAACATCATTTGCAAATAACAGATAATTTGGAAAAGATACAAGCTACAAAAATAATTGTTAATAATAAACTTTATAAGGGAGAGATTTGATATCTGGATAAAAGTTAGTAGAAGTGCTAACAGGGCAGATTTTAAGGATTATTTATTTTAAAATATCAGACAGAACGAGCATTCACAAAAAAATTGTCACCCATATAATTATTGTTTAAATTCTATTTCAGCAAAAGGCCATATCTTAATTAACTCTTCCGGATTGGTGTTCAGGCATTAGTGTCTATATTTAAGTGGGAAACAGAAGGGTAGAAGAATGTTTTATCACCACCTCAGCTAACAAAATTTAAGATAATTTCTAATTCAAAAGAAAGATATTTTGACACTGAAAAACAATTTTGAACAGTCAGCCAATAAATGAACAATTTTGTGAAGGCTAAGAAAATGTAGTTTTATGGGCAAATATTTTTTTTTTTTTTTTAAATAACGATATTTTGAAAGAAAATAACACATGATAGAGAAACATAAAAATGTTTTCAGGTTAAGTGTAAATATGTGTATATATATGTTACGTTCTTAAAGTGAAACTCAGAAAAAAAGAATAAAAAGAATGACAGTAATGTGTGAATGCTCAACCGTCAAATCCTGAGGTAAAGCAAATAGACAAACCTTCTTCATCATGGCCAGGTTACTGGTGGAGTATGCTTTCCTTGGGGACTGTTGCTAACCATCAAGACAAAATATACAGTGAGCATGATGCAACTGAGCAAATATCAAACATGGGCAAATAAACAAGCAAATACCAGGAAAACATTGAAATATGTGTAGGAAAACAGCACCACACATCGGGAAACCCAAGCACATATAGGCAAGGATAGAACCACACACACAGCCAACCACATGATCATAAAGAAGTAAGCATAGAAGCATATACAGCCAACCGCACAATGCATACAGGTGAAAATATCTAGAATGACATACATACATACATACAACCCATATATAAATATATAAATGTAAGGAAGAACCAGTTTCTTGTTCTTGACTGGTAGTGGGCACATAGTACAATCTGTATATTTTATAACCAATTTACCTTTCATAAGCTGATATGATAACTATCATGTTAGCTGCCTTTACTTCCAAAAACATCTTCCAGCACCCATCCTTAGCACTGAGAAAACTGTTGTGATATCTGCTCTTTCCAACAACTCAGTGTTTGTAATGGTTGCAAATAATGCTTTCATAATCCCTACTTCTGAGGCCCTATTTGTGTGTGTTTGCACGAGAGAGAGAGAGAGAGAGAGAGAGAGAGAGAGAGAGAGAGAGAGAGAGAGAGAGAGAGAGAGAGAGAGAGAGAGAGAGAGAGAGAGAGAGAGAGAGAGAGAAAGAGAGAGAGAGAGAGAGAGAGAGAGAGAGAGAGAGAGAGAGAGAGAGAGAGAGAGAGAGAGAGAGAGAGAGAGAGAGAAATAGTGGGGTACTCACTGCCCCCAACAAACAGGTAATAAAAAGTGACTTTGAAGGTTTGCTGAAATCAACTAAGGCCAAAAGACTAGCTGTAAACCATAATACAACATTCCAATTGGGGTTTTGAAAGCAATCACAAGAAGAAGTCATCCCTGGTTCACAACACACTGCTGTTAACTAATGAACCCTTTAGGCACATGTGGATCAGAAGGTCATGGGGTTGAAGTCTGAATGCAGCCAGACTTTTTTTTTTTTTTGAGTGTCAAAAAATGACTTTGGCTCCCAGGTCAACTAGCATTTAATGGGTAAGCAGGTCAAGTCCTGAGAAGTAAAGATGACCAGTGTGCTGTTGACCACATCACCCACAGTGTGCCCATTGGTCTATAAAATGATGGTTTAGCACTACAGGCACAATACGCTTGGAGACATGTAAAAAGTCCCTATGTATTTTTTTTCCTTTATCTTGCTTATATTATGCCCTTATGTTCTGTTCTATATCTAGCTTACCCTTTATACGTTCTGTCCTAATTTATTCCTACTGCCACTTTCCGGATTTGAACCTGCTGGTAGGCAGAGTGGTCTTTGAGCCTGAGGATTAAGGGCTGCAGAGCTAGTGCAGTCGTCATGGACTGCACAAGTTAAGATTTTGTGTGCTTGCCCCCCCCCCCCCCCCCCCCTGCCTGTCCCCCCCCCGGTTTCAAAAAACCTACTACTTGATTACAACCTGTGTCTCCCACTTGAGAACCGTGCACTGACCCTAAATCTTGTTGACCCAATGTCTGCGCTGTCTTATATCTGGTTTACACTATACTTGGTTTACACTATATCTAGTTTACCCAATGTCTGCTTTACCCTATGTTTCGTTGACTTAATGTTTGGTTTATCCAATGTCTAGTCTTACCCAATTTCTACTTCCATTCTGTCCTTTCTCAAGAACATCCTACATACCAGCCACTGAACATGGGAAGGGAGTAAAGCAAGCAATAATAACCTCAGGTTCGGCAACTCCATCCAGATCTCTTTCACTGAAGAGCTCAGGCTGAAAATCATTGTGAGCCTATAATTAAATAACACTGGTAAAGATAATCCTTAAAAAATCAGCAGATTAGGAAGAAACAGTGGAAACTGCAGTGATGGTTTTATAGATGAGTGCTAAGAACACAAAGGACAGTTGGCAGATAAGTCAGAAACTTTGTGGAAGCTGCAGAGATTATTATTTCCCAATGTAAAAGATGGTTTACCAGGTACAACATGCAACATAAATAGCAAGTGATGTCCACCATGCAGTATAAATTAAACGACAAGCGATTTTTAAAGTTCAACATAAATGACAAGTGATTTCTACTGTACAACATAAATGACAAGTGGTTTCCAAAAGCACACCAAAAAACAAAAATGACAAGTGATTTCAAAAAGTACAACATACAACATAAATAACAAATGATTTTCAAACTTATTCCCCTCTAGGCTACACTTCTGCAGCTCCTCCGTGTAGATTCAGAACTGCTCCACTTGAATTAGAGGCAGACTCAACACCTTCAAAACTACTCCATATCCTACAAGGCTCTATCCATAAATATACTATTATGGTTTTGCCATCTTACACATTGAACAGGTCAGGTCTGTGTCCATGGCCATACAGCTAAGCCATTCATATATTTATAGCCATAGAAGACCACAGTGTGTTGATTTCAACAACAGCGACTGTTTAGAAAGCAACGACAAACTACAGAATGTAAAACTGTCTTGAAAACCACAAACAGCTAAAAATGGTGTTGGTCTGGGATGTGCTGTAAAGGAAATGCAACAGATTTGATATTTTTTATCATGGTCTTATGTTTCATAATGGTGTGTAGAGGATTCTACTGTAGTGACAATGGTAAGTCGATAGTTGAAGTGCCAACATGTGCAGGCAGGTTGCCTTACAAACTGCACTTTTCCTGTGCCAGTAGAAATCTCACAAAATGTCAATGAAAAACTTGTCAGTCCCAGCAAAATGTTGAAACTTGCACATGCAAAGTAAAAATGCATAATACAGCTGTCAGATGTGCCAACACTAATGGTCCCACACCAAAAGTACAGCTCACTAACTCTAACGCTAACGTCAGACTGTTTGTGTTAGCACTTCGGATGGCTACCATATGCTTTTAATGCTAGTGTATGTTAGATTTGCTGACACAGTAGATTGTCTTTCCACAAGGGACTGTGATAAAAATTCTGTGTGTTTTTTGTTGGCACATGAGCAGAGCAAAGATGGGGTGACCCGTTTGCTATGAAGCTGAAATTAAAATTACCAGATTACAGCTCACTGCTCATGCAAATGGTCAATCATGAAAGCTGGCACTGCACACCCAAAAGTATACACCATTCTGAGAAGAACTGGCCATTTTATTGGAGTCAACAGCATGCAATAGGCCAAGAAAAAAACATTGCACATGAAATCCACAGTATTACACTTAACACTCAACTCAGTAGCTGGGTGATGGAACCTCTGGACTCTCAGTCCAGAAATGGGGAATCTGCTTTAGAAAAACTTAACTGGAAACAAATAACGTTTCAGAACATCAGCAGTCAGCTGGCTATTAGTCATTTTGGACCAGAAATGACAGTGGTTAGTCACCGAACCAGTTTGGTTATGAAAGCAATGGCAAATTGCCTTCTCACATAATGCCACGAAAAATCATGACTGATTTGTTCATGATAACCGTAGGTTCATTTCAAGGACTGTACCAGTCAGCTGATAAGTGTAATTTAAAGTGAGATCCCTGGTGATTACCACCACTGGAGCTACAATGTTTGTACAACACTTTCAGCAGGTATCTATCTGTTCTGTGGTGCAAGAACCAAGCTATATGTAATAAAACCCTGAACAATGAAGTCCTTTCTCTCAACTGCTAAACTGTTGTTAAAAGTTCCAAACATTTTCTCAGAATATCTTCACACTTAGTTTACAACCTACCAGTACGACACAAGTGCTGGGTTAGGACTGTCTGACTGCCAATGTGCCCCTAACAACAGATGGTGTGGTCTGATTTTGTTATAAACATTTGACCTTTTTTTTTAAAATTCAACAGAGTATGTTTTGTGTTGTAAGTTATATGCTGCCTCACATAAGTAATGAATGTACACTTTATCCCTTGTAGCTAAGTATTTGTTGGGCATCTCCTGTCAGATCTCATGGGACTGAAAGAGCTTAACAGAATGGAGCACAATATACATTAGACAAGGCATGCTGGAGAAACACTAAAGCAAACACAGAGAGCAAACCTGTGATGAAGCACTGACAAAGTCAAACACTACCAAACACCCAACCTTACCCGAATGACTGGACTGTCCTTCTTTGGAGCAGCTTCCTTCACGGGAAGTTCCGGATCCTTTCTGCTGTACTTTGAAACAGACAAACGATTCATGAAGGAAAGAGAAACTCTGTCTTTCTTTTCCTTTTTCTCCCCATGTTCCTTAACATCTTCTTGTGTTTTCTCCTCTGACTGGTCCTGATTCTGGGTCTTTTCTCCTTCATTCTTTTTATCTGTCTTGTCATCTTTCCGAGATGCTCGAGCCCTTGAACGATCTGTCCCAAAAAGAGAAAACATAAAGTAGTTAATGAACACACATAACTTTCCAATTCATGTGGCTGGGATCACAGGACTATTCCCGTGTGTGTGTGCTGAGTGATTCTTTGAGTATGATCTGGCAGGTCGAGGCAGGCTAGTTACGCAGACAGTGGCTTGAGTCACTGCAAAATTCTCCTGTGTGTGCAGTTAATTTCATATTCATCCCAGGGCATGCAGGCGTTGTTGGTAATAAGAGAGCTGATAGACTGGCAGGTAGTGCATTAATTGAAGATGGCCGGCCCATGGATCACGCAGACATTGTCATTGCCCATAGAGAGATATGATGTTCTGAGGATTTTGGAAGTTACGTGCCCACATCACTTCTAAGAATACGTGAATTGGGAGTAAAGATCGGCACAGCAGCCAAGCATGAGAAGCACACTGGACGCATACAAAGTCTTGTTAACCAACATAGGACTGGTACTATTAACCGCACAACGCTGATGAATATGTTGAGAGGGGAATCTGAGCGCCTATGGATGTGTCCGGAGTGCTGTGAAGATAATCTAACTCATAACTCATTCCCAAACCCTAGATGCAGGAGGCTGCTGAGGTCTCCTAAGTGCTTTTAAATTCATAAAATAGTATATTTGTATCACAATCAGTATTCCATTGTTAAAAAGTGACTTTTTTTTTCAAATATTGCCAAATATGTGGCAATTATTCGACCTGCTCTTGACTAGACCCAATTTTGTGAGGACATGGTGTTTGTGTATCCTTCTGGGAAAATGTTTTTATGTGTTTTTTAAGTTAAACATATAGGATTTAGACAGCTAGTAAATGATAATAATTCTGGGACTTCGTGTTGAATTAATATGATTTATGTGTTGTATGTGTTATACATGTACACTCATGTGACTATTGTGTTAAAAAATTGAATTCATGTGACTTTTGTCTTAAACACATATGATACATGAGACCTGTGAGTTAAAAGATGTATGTTTGTTGTAGATATTGTAAACACAAAAATCATTCAACTTTTGTAATTATATAAACCATGTGACTTTTATGTTCAGCATGTATGATTTATGTAACATTTGTGTTAAAAATGTGTGATTTATATAACTTGTGTGTTAAATACAACAGATGTGTTGACTAATGCTGTAAGCCAGAACAACACAGCCCTCTGGGGGTGAAATAACACTGAGGAGGGAAGGGGGGTATTGGTGGACATTACCAATGCAACTTTTGCTTTTAAAATTAGGTGACAATAAAACTGGTTTCTGTTGTCAAAAAATTAAATTTTCAAAAATAGCTGAAGATGCTGTAAAAAAAAAACAGAATAAACTTAAACAAAAATGTAAACACTTGTATTTAAAAATAAATTAACAAACATTTGCAACAGCTTACAATGGACTGCATTACACATGAACAAAATAGTCCCTACACTGGACATAAGTGCATTAAACCTGATCAACTTTATATAAGTATGTACACTGGATACAACTGCATAAACATGGATAAAGTCAGACTTAACAAGTTCACAGGCAGGCAGATTTTCAGGCTGGTTGTTTGGATTTATGCCAGCTTGGATTTTTATTTCTCCACTTTTTCTTCGTCTTCACTTCCTTTTTTATTTTATAGGGTGTCAAGGGAGATATATGATTCTGCTTCTTGCTCTTTTGGTAACCTCGACAACAGACACATCATACTGTTGAAGAATTTCTTTGGTGTTATCTTTCCATCTTGTTCTTGATCTGCCTGGTGACCTACATCTTTCTCCTCTTTTAGTCTATGCCTTGTATGGTATATTTCTCTAATGAATTTCATAATGTTCTCTACTGAGCTTCACAATTGTGCTAATTAAAACAGTGATTTCATCACACTGAAAAATTAGTTCTTATAATAATGCTGACTATTTATGTGTGTGGAAGAAATGGTCATACACAGTAAGTACGTAAGCAAAGGACATTTTTGATCCAGTTGCGCACGGCATATGATTCTAGACTCACATTTTTTACAGATCATTTAAACTTGATTTGTGATATGGTCAAATCAGGCCAGCCACCTTTTTATCCCAAGACTTTACCGGGTATACATTTTAGGCTGAGACTATGTAGGAGCTACGGTATATTTTCAACAAGAAAATATGTGTCATTATGCAAATTCGAACCCACAACCTTCAAAAGAAACCAAAAACATTCAAACTACACAAGACAAGCAGGTAAACCATTCCTCCATGGAGATATGTTTTGAAAATAAAAAAGGTCAGCAAAGGATTTATTCTTTTTAAAGCTAACGGCATATCTGGCATATTAGGCTAGACTCAGATTGTTATAGTTAAACAGTACTCGATGGGTGATGAGGAGACACATGTGCTTCATGCCAACTGTGTTTAAATAAGAGAGTCGACTTCATTCTACCAGTTTTATCCAACACAGCTAGGTTTCTCTTCATGGAGAGCAACTGGTCATCACAGCAAAAAGGAGGAACTCTGCTGCAGCAGCAGCAGCAGCAGCACCCCCCCCCCCCCCCCCCTCCCTTTTCCAACCCAGGAATCTCTAAAACACTTGCACTGGTAACTTAAAGGGTAGAAGGCAAAGGGCTGAACCACTTTGCCAGGGGGCCCATCAGGTCACCATATACTGGCGACACAGTGCCAAAGTCACCTAAATGCAGTTTAGGCAATTTTCACATAAGTGCACTTTAAGGGCTTTTATTTGTCATTTTACAGTATACCAAAAGTAAATGTGTAAATTTGTAAAATCCAAACAGACTTAAATGGAGTATTATTTTTCACACAGCGGCACAATTTTCATTTGCCACAGTATGATTTTTTTCCCAAGATTTCTAAATGCTCAAACAGGATTTTCTCTAACTTAGGATTTAGAACTTAGGTGTCCCTGGTATAGTGCCAGCGACATTTTATTATCATCATCATCATCATCACATGCCCTGCCAACTGGTGTAGGCGTTCATGCATCTCCACAGATCTCTGTCCCCTGTTTTCTGGATCAGTTCCACCAATGAGATCCCTCCACACCACCATCGCAGTCCATCCATCATATTCTCTCTTGGTCTGCCTCTCCCTCTTCTACCATTGACCTTTCAAGTCGTTACAACATTCTCCAATTTGATTATAATTTTTTTAAATTATAAAATTCAAATAAACCAGAAATAAACTAACAAACTGGTAATAAAACAAAATCAGCATACTAAAAGTAATAAAACACAATAGGAATAAAAATTCAAAACAAATTATATCTTCTGGTAGAAACATAAAGTTGATGCGATGTACCAGCGGTGTGGCTCTGGGGCTCAGAGGTCAGTAATCATGTTTCATAATCCTCAAGTATGAGTGTTGAATTTCCAAATTTTTACATCGGGCACAATCATTTTACCAGATCTTCATTTAAAAAACAAAACAATAAAAGTTAACAAAAAAGACAGCTCTTACAGCCTTCAGACAGCGGTACACAAGTTGCATCGTGAAAGCGGGAAAAAAAAAATTAATGTTTTCCTGAAATAGATAACTCTAATTCAGCTCATACATCCATGCCCTAAGCGCCTTTTTACCAGAATAGTTATATGCTGTACTTTAGAAATTAGCTTATATTGGTATTTTTCACTTCAAATAAGTTTAGGAATCCATCATATGGAATGTTAATTGTTAAGATTCATATCTCTCTCTCTCTTCTGATTCACAAGATCTTTAAATGAAGTGACAAGTTTCTTTCCTTCGTATCTTTCAAGAATACATTTGTGGTACTCATGACTTTCTTCTGCACTGTCCTTACAAGGGCAAGTGACATGCTGTATTGTGATTTACAGATGGCTGCTATATCTGCAACTTTCAGCTAAAAAATCACATTTTAGCAAAACAAAAATTGGTTATCTTTTACAACATGCTGTTAAGGAGCAGCTGGTCTATATTTTACCCATGCTCAGAACCCAGGAAGGCATTTACTCATTATACAATGCCGGTGTGACTCCAGAATGTAGGCGGGGCGGGAAGGGGGGGGGGGGAGTCGTCCTCTCAAAGAACATTATTTTAATATATATGCCAGCACACATAAATTACACTGTGGCATAAACAAACATATGTATGAGAAATACTGGTAGAGTTGTGCAGGCAGAATACAGCTTGGTGCTTATAAAACAGGATTTGTAAAAAACTTTACTGGATAATGTTGTCTATGTTTTTACTGCCAACATTCTCACCAGAGACGTGATAGCAGACAACTGGCCAGCTGATTTTACGTGGACAAACTGAAACGTGCCACCTATTTTATCAACTTTTCTAATCCAAGTGTCGTTAGGTCTGCCTTTATTCTTTTGACCCCGTGGGATCCAATTCAAGCACAGTCCAGTTATACAGCTACCAGGTTAAAACTGACATTAACTGACTGTTTTTCCTCCTCTGGGAATTCCACCTGAAGGTCTAACATTCATATAATCCAAATGTCAAACCAATAGGAGCTAATCCCAGATACCCATTTAGTCCAATAAGACGGTAACTGCTATGGCTACAAGCCTGACACAGCTTAAAACAGACACCAGTAAATATTCTGGGAAGTAAAGGGGGCAGCTGACAAAATGCTGACCACACCAGCAATTATATGCCAGTTGGTCTATTCAAATATGAATCTGAAAAAACATGCCCAAAGTATTAATGTGATAAAGGTCCTAAGATCACTCAAACATTTATTCATCTTCTATACTGATGACCCACAACTATTTTCTCAGTGTACCTGAGTAATTATTTTGGGTACAGCACTGTTTGTAGGTAATAATAATAAGTAGTGAAACCACCTGTCTTTGTGTCTTGTGATGAAATCTAACACCGGTACTATGCACAAATGTTTAATTATGACATTTTGCAATTTAAACTGTATAAAGTATAGTATCTTGTCATGAACAAGATAAATCCCCAGTATAACTCTCATGCACTTTAACTGATACAAAAAACAAAATACAAAGAACACTTTTACTAAAACAGCTCTGGGTTGTGATTCAAACTCTACCTCGTCCAGTACGGTCAGTGCTGTTGCTGCGGTGTGACTTGGCCGGCTCCCCTCCAAGAAAACTGGGCATTGATGAGGCTACACTCGCAGGCCGTGGCTTTCGGGGCGACTTAATCTCTCTCACCCGAACAGGACTGGGCAAGCTGGCAGTCATACAGGCTCTACTCAAGGGGCTGCTCCCAGCTCCTATGGTACTTGCAGGTCTAGGGTAGTAGTGGGTGGTTGCTGGAGCCGGGGGTGTTGCAGCAGTTGTCCCTATGAAAGAGTACCTTTATGTACTGTGTCAAGGTCTTGCATTTGTTACAGCAAGAAAAACATGACACCAATGTGTAATCTAAACAATGGTATTATTGTTAATGTATTTATCTTCAGAAGGGAATAGGCAATCTCTTAAAAAACAAATCTTCAAAAGGGACTGGACAATTTAAAAATTTAAACATCAGAAGAAAAAGGTAATCTCCAAAAACAAAATATCCTTCAGAAAAAATAGACTATCGCCAAAAAAAAAGAACACATTAAGAAATTAATGGCTTATCTACAAAAAAAAAATACCTGCAGAAGGCAATGGGCAATCTTCAAAAATAGAAAAATCTTCAGAAAGGAATGGGCAATTTAAAAAATCGAAACATCCTGAGAAGGAAATAGACAAAAGCCAAAACTGAAACATTTTCAGAAGGAAATATATATAGTCTCAACAACAAAAACAACTTGAAAAAAAAAAGAGAAAAAAATACACACATGCATGCGCGCACACAAGTAACACCTTCAGAAGAGAACAGAAAATCTTTAAAAACAAAAAATCTTCAGAAAGGAAACAAAAAGATCATAAAAATAAAATATAGCTAATTTAATTCTTAAACTAGGCTGTAAATAATATGCTTTGGTTTTTATTACATTCCACACCATCGTCCTTGAAGCTTAAACTACCATTAGGTACTCCCAAAATAATATGTGACAAGTAAATAAAGCTAAATACTTTTCAGTATATCTTTTGCAACTACATTATGGTAAATCTATCCAAGTGTATTGCTTTACATTCTCTCTATTATTTCCCTTGTGTTACACAGTGAACAATCATATCACCCAATTGTTCCCTCTTTAATATTATTGTCACTGTATATACCATCAACTAGTCAAAGCAGGAACCACTGCTGAGTAATTTTCAGCATTCAATGAGTTTTCTCACAATTTGGTTTACACTGCATTAATCAATCAGGGGCCATTACCATAATAAAGGGTGGTTGCAATGATCTCCACCCTTGAATGTACACTCTTTGTCTACTGTAAGTACATTTCTTGATGTTATACTTCCACTTGTATTGCTGTGTTTCTTGTTCGATTGCCTCCGACTTTACCATTTAGTATAGTTTTTTATAAGAGTGTCTGGTCTTTTAATATGGCAGAAAAATGTAACGTGTTTATTTTTTATTGTCCTCATCAACTCTCTTTACATTCCCAATTTCTTCAGAATTAGCTTTCTTATCCTTACGTCCTTTTTAGGGCGTAATTTTTTTGTTATTTGAAGCCCCACTCTGGCTTTTGCCAGGGGCCGCAATATAGGCAGGCCATAAATATGGCCAATTGTCTGAACGCGGTTTCTGGGACCTCTCCACGGTGATCCTCATCCACATGGTGGCACTTTGTGTCATCGGGTGTTTATCGCTTGTGTGATGTCCTGGTGGGGTAGAAATTCATTCATTCATCTCTTCAGAACCTCTGTATTTACCTGTTGTTTTTTTCATTAAATAAAAGTTATTCTTCTGTAATACATAGCATGTGATTACCTAAACCTTACAGCAAAACCCTAAAAATACTGACATTTGAAACATGATGCATATTTTCACAGACATTCACAGGCAGGAGCAATCTTGCTTTCACAGCTTGTCTCTACAAGTTCATGCAGTTACAAACACCCATCAACACAGTAGCCACAAATAGAGACATAACCATATACAGGGCAGACCTGATAAGGAGAATTCACTGGGGATCTAAGAAACAGTTCTTCTTATAAAAAATTCCTTTTTTCAAGACAAGATTTCAAGCCCCCCAAAAATTACCGGGAATAAAAAAAATTGTTCTTCATAACATAAATTTCTCACATCCGAGATAGCTTTAAGCAGTCTGCACTGTATAAGGTTTCCAAAAAACAATGACTACATTCATAAAGCACTGCTACAATAATCAACAACTTCAAATCATGATTGCTATAGACATGCAGGTACAAATCACAAAAGTCACCCCATCTCATCTTCCGCATGATTTCGTAGGAATATCCTGGGACACCCCTATAGTCTAGAAGAGTCAGGTGTTCCTCATTTTACAGTTTCAAGCAGATCCACATGAGCCGAATATTACAAAAACATGAATGATTCCATTAGCACAAAGTGTTGCGCCTTCGAAAATAATATAAGTAATAACATGCACTCATTGCTTTTTTCTAAATCAGGCAGTAAGAAACACTAAGAAACAAATACAAACACTTTAATTTAGGTAGTTACCAAGAAAACGCAGCATATCCACAAATCAGTGCAACTATGTTCAACAACTTGAGACAATCCTAATCTAGATAAACATTCCCAGCTTGTCTCTACAAAATCAAGCAGTCAGGAACACACATGAACCCCAAATCTAGACACTGTCATTCAGAAAGTCCCCACACACAAAAATTAGCATATTCACAAAGCAGTGGCACTACATTTAACTAAAAGAAATTTAACTGTAGAGGTACATCCACAGCTTGCCCTTTGAAAAAAAATTTTTTAAACCAGGCAATTACAAATACACGTGAGCAAAAGAAGACACTGCATTTAGAAAGTTAACATTAAAAAAAACAACATAAAGCACATTCATAAAGCACTGTACAAGTTAAAACCGTGCTGGCTGTAGACCAATGGTTCTCAACCTGTTCCCCTAAGGGCTTCATTCACACTTCCCATGGGCTCTGTAGCCACACCAGGAAAATAAAGTGAATAAAATTAAAAATTAGGCAACAACTCTAGCCATTATTTAACTCCAGAAAATTGATACAGTCAAAATGTTTGCTGGATGAAAATGCTGTTAAGTTAGTAACCCATACCCAAAAAAAAAACGATTCAGTATATGGCTGGTGACGTGAAAGAGACATAATCAGTCGCATCGAATCTATCAAATTTACACTACAAATGGATGAATCACAGAAATATCAGAGACACTGAAAAGTACTTTCTACAAAGCGAACAGAAGGGCCCATTCCAGAGATCTCTTTCTGCCCTGATGCAGCAAGGCATTCCAGGAGTAAATAAGAAGATGGATGAACCGGCTGACATTGCTGTGTGGTGGGTTTAATTGTTTTAGTTCATATCTGACATTGCTGTGTGGTGGGTTTAATTGTTTTAGTTCATATGTATGGCCAAGTTTCCACAATTTTATGTCTAGTGGTAGTAGTTGGAATAAACTTACTATGTTAAATTTCAACAATTTTAAAATATAACTTTATGGCACAGTTATTTAGACACCTCTTTATTTCACATTCTTTTTCTAATTACCCCCTTTTCCCCCACTCTATAACATTACTTCGAGACAACATTAACTAGTAAGAGATAAGGTACGGTACAGTAGGCCTAAGAGGCTCTGCCTCCCGAAAAAAAAAAAAACTGTACTAGTATTAAAAGTTGAGAACCACTGCTGTAGACACGAGCAAACCAATCATGCACACAAAAGACTTATTTCAAAGAAATTCTATACCCCAAATAAAACCCAGAAAACATGTGCAGGGAAAACAATTCTTGCTGATTCTTTTATCATGGAATAAACTAAATGCTAGTTATACAGTCAAGGTGGCTGGCATGATACTGACCACAATATGTATCAAGTAGTGATTTGCCTACTACAATTTGGGCTCGAACCATACATTTAATGAGCCAGAAGATGTGAAAAAGAGTACTTTACTTCTTCTTCATCAACCCAAGACCTTGAGGTTTACTGCTACAGATATCACCTGCCTCGATTCATCTCTATGACTGATCGTTCCCTTCCAGTTGGTGATCAACATTTTACTTCATTTATCAGTACTGACTACAGGTGTAAGGGAGTCGCTGTGGTCTAGCAGCTAGATGCTCACCTGCTGATCTGAAGGTCGAGGGTTCAGGTCCTGATGGAGCTGGACTTTTAAATTTGTTTAAATGACCTTCACTCCCAGGTCGACCCAGCTTTAAACGGGTACCAGGTGAAGTTCTGGGAAGTCAAGGTGGCCAGCATGATGTTGACCACATCACACCCAGAGTGTCAATTGGTCTATAAAACATAGGTCTAGCCATACATGCCCAATACACCTAAAGACAGGAAAAGGGTCCTTTACTAAAGGTGTTAGTTCCATGAACAAAAGTATGAAATAACTAAATGCAGACAAGCTGGTGGCCAAAAGGTTTAAATCCCAGGCTTACAAAGTGGGATGTGGGTTCTAATGCCCGGTTAAGTCTAGAGAGATGTGTATCTTTCAAAGGTGAAATAAAAGATATAATTCCATAACATGTACACCTGTGGCGACTGTTTAGGCAAGAGAGTTTTATTTCTCAGCATTTCAAATCTCTGCGGTCACATCATGTAATATAGAGCGTGAGTCACTGCCAGTGACAGCGTTGTAGACACCCATGTAACAGAATGTCGGGGGTGTGAAGGATCAGCAAGGATAATAAACGAACAATCCTGGTGTGCCTGGGCCGGAAATCGCTACTAGAACCTAAAATGTTTAATTAGTTTTTTTTTTTTTCTAATATTCTTATTAGTTAGTATGGTTGATATATGGTTACAACATCATGAAAACCCATGTTCAATGGTTAACCATTCATTGATGTGCTTCCACACAACAGATACAAGCTTGATAGCTAAAGTCTGTGAAAGCTCATCTGTGTTTGTACAACATTGTTACGTAGAACATTTGCAGTGTACTTGGGCTGAAATTCACAATGTATACAAGCAAACATTTAAAGCTAACTTGAAACAAAGAAAAGTTTTATACAAACAAAAATGTCAATCACATCACAGATTTCTCAAGAACACTTGACATACTGGCAAAATGTTTCGGATGTGAATAAAAATATAATAAACTCAAATATTAAACAGTCGATAGGAGACTCACTTTCAAATCCAGCTGCGACTCGCTGCAGCCCACAGCCAGTGTTCGAAACCGGGCGGTTCCCAGGGTTAACCCAGCCTCTAGGTAATGGGTACCAGAGTTAACACTGGGATAAATGGAGGAATGTCGCTAAATACCAACCTTGGCTCACAGTATGTGGTAATGCTGACAGATGCTAAATCAGTACTTGAAGCACTCCAGTCTAGGAAACTACCAGAATTGCAAACACTGCTGACACAACTCAGCGTTCAGCGAAGAGTCGTAATGCAGTGGATACCGTCTCATTGTGGAGTGCCTGGAAATGAGAAAGCTGATCAACTGGCAGGGGAAGGTGCGAAAAAAGAGCAGCCAGATGTACCAGTCACATACCACCGAAAGAAAAGAATAATTAAATCGATCAGGAAACCACCAGCCCCAGCACAAGACGACTATTTTATTATGGACAGACCAGAACAAGTCATTATCTTCCGCCTCAGAACAGGGCACAACCCATTACGTAACCACATGTACACAAAATTCAAGATAGGTGTATCAGCCATGTACACCTGTGGAAATGTGCCCCAGACCGCAGAGCATGTACTCCAGGACTGCACCGATTTTGACACATTAAGGCGTTCTTTTGGCCAGAAAGAACAACAGTGGAGCGTAAACTCTATGGACCACTGAATGAACTAACAGCGACAGTGAAATTTATACAAGAGACAAAACTGCTGATATAGATAACTTATTTCAGGCGAACGAAAGAAGAAGAAGAAGAAGGAGGAATGTCGCTGTAGCTACAGAGTTGCATGCGGACGGCGACACAGGCAGACAGTTTTTTATCAGCTGTCCATACTGGTGTCAGAACACTTACGGTTTATAACCGTGTGTAATGACGCTGGTTTACATCTCCCAAATTTACCTTTTTTTTTTTTTTAGGCACCCATTTATAGTATGCAAATAATAAAAACATGCATTAAAAATATGCATTTACACATAAACAGTTTGTATTGTATAGCCCAAAATGCACATTTAAAAAAACAACAGCAAATTATCACAGAATCATCAAGCGAGCGGTATAGAACCAATGTACACAAGTCACAGATTATACATAAAAGCAGCGCTGAACACTAACAGTTTCTGTTCTCTTATTTTCCCATATAATATCAAACCTGACACAACGGCTGAGTGGTCTCGAGGCATGGTGTCCGCATCAAGTGCTGGAGGTCCGGGTTCAAGCTCTGATGAAGGCTAGGATATTTTCACGTGGACTTCTAGTTAACTTTCCCTGGTCTCTGGGTAGTGAGATAGGATGCCCGTGTGTATTGTTGCGCACGTAAAAATCCCTCGGCAGTTGTATATCAAAAACAGTAGTCTAGGGGCGCCTTGCCTGGGCAAAATTTAGATTTAAAAATCTACCCAAAGTATTTCAGGATTCTTACCAGTGCTACTTATTTCGTGCACTGTGCTGAGATTCTTCGGACTCAGGCTTGAGAGAAGTAAAACAGAGCACTTATGGGTTAATAGCCATGTTGATTCACTGTATAAACTTATAAACCTAAACCTGACAAGATTTGGAGTAAAGTGTATGGGTATATCTAAACTTCTACTAGTGATTCACTAAAGTGACTTTATTTTAAAATTGAAGCAAATTTTAGTTAGCCAGACAATAAAAAACACACGCATACAAACATGCTGGTTTGATCACACTCATTAAATTTAACTCTCTAATGAGCCCGGCGCACTAGCTCAGTTGGTTAAACCAGCCTGTGCCGCCACCGGGTCGTATATGAATGACTTTTGAGACTACGTGCAACTTTGATAAAACGCGCGCATGCCACCCAATGCTTTGCTCGGCGCACCTTTAGTGGTCCGAGTTTGTGCTCAGGGTTGGCAGAAAAACCAAAGCTTTACAGTATCTATCAGAGAATCAAGACTGAAGGGTTGTGACATCCATGGTACCGAGCCAAAGGGTTTACAATTCATGGTTTCTGGATCAATAAAAAAATTTAAAAAACTCGAATGACCCTGTTTCTAGTGTTTAGCGAAATACTCATGGACCGGACCATAACAATTCTGTTTGCATGAAAATGACCTCAATTTCTGTCTCACTCATTCCAAATGGCATAGATACAGAGGCATGGATGGTATAGTTGTTGTTACTGGAAATAAAACAGGGTCTTTAAACTGACATGGTCATGTGACTGATGTGCTAAATTTTAAAAGCGAAAGTCATCTTTTTGACTATTAGGGCTAATGACCACTGAAAATATCTTTATTTTGGGACAATTTTTTATGAAATTTGAGACCATCTGTCTATGACTGGGACCTTTTGTCTGAGTTGGGACCATCTGTCTAATAAGTGAAACCATGTAGTTGAGACTTGATGTGATCTGTCTGAAATTTGGAACCATTTGTCTACATACAATCTGGGGCCATTTGTCTGAGATTTTGTACCATCTGTCTATAATTTGGGACCATTTGTCTAAGAACTGCAACCAAGTGTTTGAGACTTGAGGGCATTTGTCTGAAATGTGGGACCATTTATGTATAATTTGGGACCATTTGTGTATAATTTGGGACCATTTGTCAATTATATGAACCATATTTTTTAGGTTTGGGACAACTGTCTGAAATCTGGGACCAATTGTTTGAAATGTGGGATCAACTGTCTGAGATCTGGGACTAATTGTTTGAGATCTGGAACCATTTGCCTGAGATTTAGAACCATGTATCTATTTTCTATGATCTTGGGCCACTTGTCTATGATTTAGGATGATGTGTTTGAGATTTAGGACGTGTCTGAGATTTTGGATTATTTGACTGAGATTAAGGAAACTACGTGTCTGAGATTTTAGATTTTTTGTCTGATTAAGGACCAAATGAAAATGTCCCAGCACATAGATATTTGTAACTGCATGCATGATGTGTACTTGTGATTACTCATTTAAGAAATTATTAACAATATCATCCTTGAAGATTGAACCTGCAAAGTACATACTGACTTGCCAACAATAAACTGGGATCTAGCTAACAGAGTAAATATCTGCATTTCTGGTGGAGACTGTTGGCTTTGGCACCTGTAGCAGCTGCCTTGTGCATTTACTGCATGCACATATTTCTGGATTGTTCTGGGGCCTAATTGCTTGTTGGCCAGTTTTTCAAATGGGACAGTGAAAGACATTTCATATGATTTTCACTGGTACAGGAAATGAACAAGTAAGAGATGACTCCACTGCACTGAAACCTTGACAACCACTACTACCGCAGAGTAAATATCAAACATTACAATGGTGACCCTATGCAGCAGAAGCAGGCACAAGAAATACAAGATTAATGTGAACAAGAAAACACTTACATGCAACCAATGAAAATAGGAACATATAGAGGCAACCTAAAACTGACTCTTAACAACATACAAAAAAAAACATGACTATGTGATAGGATATATATAAGCCCAACATACTTCAAGTTTTAAGTATAAAAAAACTGTATTTTACCACTTCTTGTGGTGTTGGCATGGGGGTCTCTGAGACGGAAGGATTTAGGCTGCACTGTTTGAGTTGTCACCATGGACTTGTGGTGTTGACATGGGGGTCTCTGAGATGGAGGATTTAGGTCGCACTGTTAGTGCTGTCACCATGGACTGTGCAGGTTAGGATTTTATTTTTACCCCCAACAGAAAAAAAAAATCTCCAACCTTAGAGAGGATTCGAACCTAGGTCTCCTGCATAAGTTCTATTCTTAACTGTTTAGCCAGCCACTACTCTGGACCACTACTCCAATGCAGACGTTCAAATAAGCCCACAATTTCCAATGCAAACCTGTTTCGAGGAGCCTGATTTTAAAATCAGTATGCATGCCTGATTCATAATGTATGCATGTACAGATGAGGCTGCTTCTTAGTGAAGACAGATACAGAAGAGCACCAATTTTGCAACTCCAGCAAAATAAACATGGAACTCTTAAAACACCTACACTTGCAAATTGAATGACAGAGTCAAACTCACATCCTCCAGAGCATTAGGGAAATAGCTTAACCACTTCACTATGGAGAGCCATTAAGCCTGTTGGTATTATGTACTGATCAGATAGGTTGTTGCGTATCCTTTACAGGACCTTGCAGAACCAACCCTAACAGCCCCTGGCTGTTGTGTGGTTTCTCTAGGCAAATTACGTCCAGTATTTTGCCATTGCTTTCTGGACGGTCGGCTTTCTTGATACCACTGTCGAAACCAATGCAAGGCGCATTGCCCGCAGCTGGGATCGAACCCGGCATCCCGGCATTACGAAGCGAAGTGTTCGCATCGACTTAGCCACAGAGCCGACTATGTACTGATCAACAGATGAAAAAAGAAACAGGGCAAAAGTTAAATCACTTTATGACAGGGTTATTCAACGGGCAGCCCATGGGACAGATATAGACAGCAGAGGCCTAGCAAGTGGCTCAAGTTTACTGCCAGTTGAACTGTAGTAATGATCTTTCTATGATGGGGGTTCAGGCCTCCTGGCTTGTGAGGACTCCCATTTTCAAAATGTTAGCCCCTGAGTAAACTTAGCTTTATAAGGGGGGAGGGGGGGGGGGGGGGGGGGGGGACATGCAATGTAATGTAGGATTCACAGTCTCAACCCACCCACAGTACAACAAGGATTGTGTGATTACAAGAAGGACCACAGAACAAGAAACACTGTGGAAACAACAATGCCTTACCCACAGACAAGCTTTGGCGAGAGGTAGGGTGCAGTGTGCTCATAGAGGAGTACTCCTGGCTACGTTTGGAGTACAGGACACTGGTGGACACAGAAAGCTGCTTGGTTGGGCTGTCACCTCCACCAAACACTCCTGTACAAAGTGGTGGTGGTTGTGGTGGTGGTGCACATGCAACAGTTGTGATGCAGGAGGAACAGCAACATGGATGGAACAAAAGAGAAAGAAAAAAAAAAGGCAAAATGCATGCAATTTCATAAATATGAAAATGAAATGTTCATGTCAGCTATATGAACATGAATGATATTGAAAAAGGCATTCAGCAGGGAATAACTGGGTTTGAGTCTTATCACCCTCTTAGTTAATTTTCACTTATACACTTTACACAAAAAGAGTCATAAAAAACCTGATAACTGTATAACAACATCTCTGCACTGGAACCCACCAAGTCAAAAGAAAAAAGGCACAGACAAATTTTAAAAACAAAACACATGGCGTAGAGAACTAGACAGGCAAAATCATAGAAAGGATCCCGGACGATCTACACATGATGGCAAGACTTGGCATGAACAGGGAGAGGGCCTATACTCTGTGGTGGCGGTGTCAGGAGGAGAAGGTGAAGGAGGAAGAAGAAGAAGAAGAAGAAGAAGAAGAAGAAGAAGAAGAAGAAGAAGAATGAGTAAAATAAACAAACTTTATTTTCAAAGGGTCACAAATTGGGTCGCATGCCCGTCTTACATTCGGCTTTTTTCAAACATCCATCTTTAGCACACAGCAGTTGTATTTTATCAAACAAGCATTTTATGTTAATATAATATGCATATTATGAATACCAAGAAAAAATACAAAAAACATGGGTGCTGAAGTGCACAGGCACACACGCACAGGCTCACCCATTCACTCACAAACCTACACACCTACATATATACATACACACACACACATACATACACCTACATACATAAATTCCTACACACACTCATACACACATACACATACATACATACATACATACATACATACATACATACATACATACATACATACATACATACATACATACATACATACATACATACATACATACATACATACATACATACATACATACATACATACATACATACATACATACATACATACATACATACATTTGTGCATACAGACACACATGCACACACAGAAACAAATATGCAGACACACACAGACAGACATACAAGCACAGATACATGCACACAGACACACACACACAGCACACACGCAGACATACACACAGATGAACAGAGACACACAAGTAGACAAACATAAGAAAAAAGAAGAAGAAGAAGAAGAGGGGGAAGAGGAGGAGAAGCAGGAGGAGGAGGAAGAGGAGAAGAAGTAGAAGAAGAAGAGGGGGAAGAGGAGGAGAAGCAGGAGGAGGAGGAGGAGGAGGAAGAGGAGAAGAAGTAGAAGAAGAAGAAGAAGAATAGCTTTGTAACTGTGCAAATATCAGTAGTTCTGGGATCAAATTACTCTCCTCTAAGCCACACAGCTGATCCTGATACACAACCTATCAAATGATATCTTCCCATGCAGGTTTTGAGGTCCCTTTGAGGAAATATGAAGTAACTGAAACCTAGTTATTACCCTGCATCAACTGCCGTAATGGAAAACAAACATGCACAAAACGACACACACATGCCAATGAACGCATTCAGTTAAACATCTAGTGGCTCTACACACAACAAGGGGACGTCTAACACTTCCCCTTCATGTGGAAGAATGCAGATAAACCCATGACTCTTAATACAGACATGCACAGATAAGACTGGCTCTTAATATAAAAAGGATATAATTGAGCCCATGGCTGGTAATGTGAGCAGGTATATACAGGTACAAATAAATATCATGGAATAACAGAAAAACAACTGAGGCAGATCTCGTTCATAAGGATAAAAACTACTGACTAATAAGAGAAATTAGATGTTGCCAGTCGGTGGCCTTGTTTGTTTTTTATAGTTGACATGTTATGTATAAGAAGAAAAAGATTCAAAAACTTGGTAAAGATTTTTTAGACTGATGAGAAAAGAATATGGGCAAGGCAAAGAGTTAAATAACTGGATGGTTTTTCCATATGAATAGGGCACTGACCTGATCCATGATATTGGTGATTGTGAGATGGTGAAACAAGTCGGCCTACCATTATCAGCAGAGCATGTGATGATTATAAGCAAACATATATAAGCCTGATTCTTACTGTATAAGGATAAAGAAAGTCTACACAAGATTAAATATGGATATAGCTAATCTTCTTCATAATAAACATGGAAAGACACAGACAAGCCCATGCCTCAAAGTATATATAGGAACTAATAAGCCTGATTCCTAAATGGTCAGCTATAGTAGATAAGCCTGTGATTCTTATGTACCATATGGATAAACTCTTGACACAGGGAAGATATGACTTTTAATGTGTAAAGCTACAGATAAGCCCATGGCTTAATATCAAAAGATATAAATAAGCCAAGGCTTTTCATGTACACATTAAAGTCCGTGATTCAATAAAGAAAGATAGATAAGCCAAGCCTATGACTTAGTGTGGAAAAATATTGAAGAATCCATCACTCTAAATGTGGAAAGATATAGATAAGACAATGACTTAATGTGGAAATATATAGATAAACCCATGATTCAATGTGGAAATATATAGATAAACCCATGATTCAATGTGGAAATATATAGATAAACCCATTATTCAATGTGGAAATATATAGATAAACTTATGATTCGAAGTGGAAATACATAGATAAACCCATGATTCAATGTGGAAAAACACAGATCAATTAAATTTCCTTTTTCTTTGCATTCACAGGCTGCAAACTCTGGCACAAAGTTCTGGTTGTCCACTCTGGACCTGGGCCTCGTTCCGTTCCAGAACATGAATTCTGTGTGCCCATCTGTTTTACAGATCTATCTTACTTAACTGTATGCTGACTGGTGGTTCTTTGCCTCTCAGGCAGATGCACCCTGGCTGCAAAGGGAACACCCCTAATTAGTTAACTTTTATGACATGCTCAAATACAATAAAGGCACTATAAGATGATGATGTCTATTATCATTTTCTTTAAGACTAATAGTAAAAGAAATATAAAATGATCTTCTTTATTTAATATACAGAAATAAAACAATTTTAATCAGAAAAAATATTATCTGAAGAAAATAAAAAGGGCACCTGGAACATAGCAGTAAAGAAATCTGCTAACAGAATGAGAAGAACAAAAAATGAGGATGTATGAAGTACAAAACACCCATTTACAGGGATGCTAGTTATTAAATTCTAAACACACAGAAACTCTAGTCAACACAACTGACCACAGAAATGCATACAACAAAGAACAACAGCACAACACGGCAATATCACAAAACAATGATGAGTAATGATGTACATTAACCCTTTCACCATGGAAACAATTGGAGTGGAAAAAAGCCCATAACAAGAGAATTCCCGAGAAGAAAAAAATCCTTTAAAAAAAACCACATTTTATACAGGTCACTAATTACATTTTTTTCACATTTATTTATGCACATTAAAATATTTATTAAATAAATAAAGGAGAATAATGAATATACACTAACCTGGCAGAGACTTAAACCATAACTTTCTCTTGGGCCCCCCCCCCCCCAAAAAAATCCCTATATATATATATATATATATATATATATATATATATATATATATATATATATATATATATATATATATATATATATATATATATATATATATATATATATATATATATATATATATATATATAAGCTTAATCAGGACTGCCCAACGTCACACTAACAAAATACCACCAACTCTGGTTTTGTAATGGATGGCACTGCTAAGTTACCTGTGTCTCAGGTGACACGGTTAGAAATAAAGACACAATGATACAGTGGACAACAATGATGCATAAAGCAGAACACAACAGTGTATTCCTTACGAACACAACAGTGCGTACAGCAAAGACAAAATTTATATATAAAACATCAAAAACTATAACAATGTACATTTTAAGAGCAAAAGTGCATACAACAAAATGCAATGCAGGCATCCTAGACTGGTGGAAATCAGTTATAACCATGTAACTTTATATACATATATCATCACCTTTAAACCTTGGGACAATCTGCCAGAGACATGAGTCGACTACAAAGCCAGGGACAGAAAACGTGCTCGACTGTTGCTCAACTTTCAAAAGTGTAAGTTATATAGCTGTAGTCTTCTATAGCATTACGGAAGGATTATTTATTCTTTCTGTCCTAAACAACGCGCTATGTTTGTTTGTCTTTTGATTATGTGTATTCTTTACCTTTGATCTGAGCATACCAAAAGAATCTGGCAAGATATTTTAGGATATCTCCTTGGTTTAGCCATCTGTCTCACACTATGATGGTTGTGGGTTCATTTTACCTATTTTAAACTTTAAACAAACAGGTAGTCTCTGTAGTGAAGTGGTATATAGAAATAACCCAGTGCAAAGAAGATGATCTTTTCGACTTTAAATAGAGGCTAGGATTTTTTATGAGAGAGGGGTGAAACTATAGAAACTCATTGGCAAAAGAAGGTCCAGTACGGTGATGCATGCCTGTTGGTCCAGCAAGTGTATGAGTGGAGTAGGATTTTCAAAACGCTGTAACTTCTGTAACAGACTGTGCTTGACCCAGTCATGAATGCACAATGCATTACAAGGTAAATGTTTACTTCAGGCTTGGGGGTACAGTGCAACACGAGACAGTATCCAAAGTTATTGTTAGTGGAAGCAAATGTTAGATCAGCTGGTGAAAGGTAATAATAACTGCATAAACCAGAAGTTAGTGAAAGTTAAAATCCTCAAAATTAACCTACAGAGGATAATACTATTTACGTTTGTAAGATTTCAGAATCCATGCAAACGTATTTAGTTTTATGAAGTGAGTTACCTACTCCTTTACTCATTATTCATTTGCCCTAACTGTGGCTTAGAGGTTACAGAATGTGTTTAATAATTTCACGATTCTCGAGTACTGGGGTCAGTTTATTCTGAAAACAAATTATTTTATTATTTTTTTCAGGTAGCATTATGGAATCACAACAGGGAAGAGCCTGGGACATCAACACATAATATTCTCAAAAGGCACATCTCCCTGTGTGAGTTCCATCTGGGGCCCCAATTATGTTTGGATAAGGAACACCCCCCACCCCCCTCTCCCTTTACAAGCATGATGTAAAAGATGACTAATCAGGGGTTTGATGAAAACTGATGTGTTGGGCCAAAAAGTGAAGCTATCACAGCCTAGTTGTAAACCGCATCATGCCAAATGCCCTGTTAAGGGTGAATGTAGAAGAATGATATGAATAAGTTACAACTCTTCCTTGATTAATTTCTCCGTCTTTAACTTGCATGAACAGTTATGGATGTAAGTGATATGATTAACTGACTGTGAAGAATCAAGTTGCAACTGCTCTAATGGTACCTAACCAGGCCCACTGTTGTAATGTCAATCAAACAATGAGTAAAGGAGTTGGTAGCCCACCTCAAAAAGTTAAACAAGCTTTTTTTTTTAATTATCAGATAGTTTAGAACCTAGCTTTTCAGTGCAAAAATAACAGTATACTTTTTTAAATAAGCAAATAATGAAGAATATATAGTTTAGTTTTTTTTTTATATACAGAAAATTTAGAATAACTTGTATACATGCAAATGGTATTTTCTGTGTGTGTGTGTGTGTATATGTATGTGTGTGTGTGTGAACATACAGATGGATAATATAGAAGCCAACTAGTAAATAATATAGATTTAATATAAATAATAGAGAATGTCTGTCTTTTCTATATGTAAGCAGTGTAGCAGTGTACTTTCTATGCGTAGATACTGTGGAAAATAACTACTAAATGTTGATAACACTGAACTAGTTACTACCCAGACAAATCTGAAATTATACTAAGCATGAAGAGGATGGAGGATTAGACTGTGTTACTTATAATGGCACCGGAGGATGATGCCCTTCCTAAAGGCTTTTGGTCACAAGCAATATGTGATATTATTAGCTCTTCTGTGGAAACCCCCCCCCCCTACCAGCATGTCATGTTTCTTCATACTTTCTACGTCTGATCATAACACACTGAAAAATCTGGCTTTCCTAGTATTCTGCTTTTTTGGAAGTAATAGATGTGTGGGTTTCCTAGTGATTATTTATGCCATTTGGTAGCTCCTATAATACCTTCTGATATTCAAAGAGTTAATGAATTGAAGATATTTACAATTACTCCAAAGTCATATATCTGCACAGTAAACAGCAAACACACCAGAAGCTTTACTTCAACAAAATCAACATTTTCACAGCTACACACAAAAACTACAACACTCAGCAAACAAAGAAGGGCACCACTAAGGAAACCACAAACACAAGATTCAATTTGAAAATTTTAAAAAAAGCACAAAGTCATATGACACTTCTTCTTCGCGTTTACCAGCTGTAAACTGGCAGAAAGTTCTGGCTGTTCATCCACTTCTGGACTGCAGTCCTGTTCCAGAACCTGAGTGTTGCATCCGTTTTACAGATCTGACTCATTTGTATGCAGACTGCTGGTTCCTTGCCTCTCAGGCATATGCACTCCAACTTCGAAGAAAGCTCCAAATTAGTCGACTCTTACGACATGCTTTTGGGTAGGCAGTGGGTCTATTCTTTTTTCCCTGGAATAGACCCGCCGGAAGCCACACGGGGAATATGACATTCATAACTGTGAATGTTACAGTGGGATGGAACCCATTTCTGCTGTGCCTCAGCTTCAAGAAATACTGCTGAACAATTCCCTCTAGTATAAACAGAGGTCAAAGGTTTAAAGTTCAGAGGATTGATCCAACGGCAGGTGTGTTTTATCCCATTTGGATTGGTCTCTCTATGAAGAATGGCCAGCTGCTTGCAGAACTTATTGCAAAAGGCACAAATTATGTGGCTCCAGCAATGAACCTCAGGAATCTCATTGAAAACTGCACTTGTGAATGTGAGTCTGTGTATAGAACAACTAAACTTCAAAGTGCAATCCAAACAGTTTAACAACTGTGCTAAAGAGACTCCTAAAAATAAACAACACAACCTGTAGCAAGACAATTTGTAGACTTTTTTAACAGTTCATGGAATGAACCCAATACTTTCAGAAGGTGAAGCAAGCAGCTAAATCGTGTAGCCCCGGAGACTGCCTGGGACATCTGGCTCATCATTACCAGAGACAGTAATCTAATAACTAATGGGACATCTGGACTTATCATTACCCGAGACAGTAATCTAATAACTAATGGGACATCTGGGCTTATCATTACCTGAGACAGTAATCTAATAACTAATGGGACATCTGGGCTTATCATTACCTGAGACAGTAATCTAATAACTAATCTATTAACCGATCCAATAAAATAATCTACAGAGATCGAGAATAAATAAAAACTCATCCCAAAAGACATATTCCCCAAGGAAAGAAGGGGGGGGGGGGGGGGGGGTGAGAGAACTATAACTAGATCTGTATGTGTTTCTATAAATGTTTAAAATAAAATATGTATGTATTTCTGTACATGTTTAGATTGAAATATCTATATGTCCCTACAAATGTTTAAAATGAAATTAGTATGCTTCTATTTTCTTCTGCCTTCTATCTTCCAAAGGAGCATAGGCCATCAACTAACTCATGCCAAGTCATTCTAGTCTTTGCTACTGCATGCAGCCCACCACATGTTTTCTCTATATCTTTTTTAACTTCACTCTCTAGGTCTCCTCTCCATCTGTTTTTTTGGTCTGCCGTTATTTCTAGGCCTCTGTGGGTTCCACTGCAAGACATTCGATTTATATTGTTCAGGTTTTTCTCAACATTGTGTTCTATTCAGTGCCAGCGTCTTTTTTTTTTTCACATCTTGGTCCAATGGAGCTTGTGTAGTTCTCCCCCAAATCTCAATGTTAGTGATTCTATCACACCATTTAATCCTCTCTATTCTGCGCAGGCACCAGTTAATGAATGTTTGTAGTTTATTAGTGACTGTTTTACTTGTTCTCCATTTTACACTCCATGCAACAGTACCGAGCTGACATTAGAATTTTAAGTCAGTTAACCACCAGAAATTTCCTAGTGCTATGAAAGCTCTGTGAGTTCATGTGCTGACAAAGCCTGACTTTTTTCAAAAACCTTGGCTCCCAGGTCGTCTAACCTCAAATGGGTACTAGGTAAAGTCCTGGGAGGTAAGTCCACATTACCCACCAAGTAACGAATGGTCTATAAAATATAGGTCTAGCCCTATATGCCCAATACGCCTGTATGCGTGGAAAAGGACCGTTACTATGAAAGCTCCTGTTGCCTTTTGTATTCATATTTCAATCTCTTTCAACTGACAGAGATGTTCCAATACAAATGTCTAATGTATCTATAACTTTAAAAACATAATCTGTATGTGTTTCTATAATTGTTTAAAGCAATATCTTTAGGGGTTTTTATAAATACTGAAAACAAAATGTGTAGGTGTTTCTATAAATGTTTAAAATAAAATCGGTGCTGTGTTTATGTCAAATATGTAAGAGTTTTATAAATGTTTAAAGTATTAACAACATCTGCAGACACATATCTCTAAAAGGACTTCTTCTTCTTCTTCACTTCCTATTTTATCGCTGTGGGTGTCGAGGGAGATAAAAGGTTCTGTTTCTAGCTCTTCTGGCCGCCTCGACCATAGGCACATCATGCTGTTGTAGAGTTTCTCTGATGTTATCCTTCCATGTTGTTCTTGGTCTGCCTCGTGCTTTACGTCCTTCTATTTCCATGTATGCTTTGTATGGTATGGTGTCACAAGGCATTCTCTCTAAGTGGGCAAACCATTTCACTTGCTGTCTTTGTATGTAATTTAGAATTGGTTCTGTGCCGACTTTTTCTCTTATGATCTCATTCCTGATCTTATCTCTTATGGTCACTCCTACAGCCCTTCTCAGACATCTCATTTCCAAGGTTACTAATTTTCTTATATGGTTTGTTGTGAGTGACCATGTCTGGCACTGGTAGCACAGAGTTGGAATAAATATGCTTTAAATAAGATGTCTCTTTGAGCTGACTGGGATTGTCTTATGCTGTAAGAGGGGGGCTAGCTGTCCCAATACTTGGTTTGCTTTACTGCATCTAATGTTGTCTAAAAGGACTAGTGGTGTTAAAACACATAAAGTAAATAAATGTTATGTTATGGTGTCAGTGCATAAATAATCAAAGATGTGATGCATATTATAAATAGCAACTACCCCCCCCCCCCTTGGGGGCCCCAAGACACATCTAAGATATACACTTTTGGGAAAACCCAATTGCAGTGAAATTGAAGCCTGGACTAAGACATACTCTAATCTATAAAGCTGACACCAGCAGATCATTTGCATTTGGCTTTGTTGATACACTCTAATCTATCTAACTGATACTAGGAGACCACATGTATATTTCCTAGTCAGCCAGTTGTGTGTCCTTCACAGAACAGTGCAGAATAAACCCCAGCATGGCTTTTTTTTTTTTCCTTCTAGATTAAGCCAAACTTCATGATGCCACTAGATCATATGTACTTAACCCACTGTATATCTACTCTAATCTATAAAACATACTAGGGGACCATTACGTATCTAGCACCCTAGATATGCTCCAATCTATAGAACTGATAATAGCAGACTATTGGTATCTAGTTCTCTCTCTCTAACATATATATATATATATATATATATATATATATATATATATATATGTATGTGTTTATACATATATATATATATATATATATGTATGTGTTTATACATATATATATATATATATATATATATATATATATATATATATATATATATATATATATATGTATATATATATATATATATATATATATGTATATGTATAAACACATACATATATACATACTCTAATCTATACAATTGATACTAGGGGGTCATACGTATCTAGCTCTCTATACATACAGTAATCTATATAAGTGATACTAGGAGAACATATGCACCTAGTCCTTTAGATAAACAGAACATCCATTATTAATAACATGCAATGGTGCTCTGAAAGATGAGTGCTTAAAAGTGCTGAATGTCAGATGGGCCTGCGTGCCCAATTTGTAACCCTTTGAAAAAAAGTTTGTTTGCTCATTCGATATACTCTAATTTATATCTGATACTAGCAGATCATATGTATCTAGTCCTTCAGACATACTTGAATCTATATAACTGATATAAGGGGCTCATATGTACCTAGCCCAATAGATATACTCTAATCTATATAACAGATACTAAAAGAGCATAAGTAACTAGCCCTAGAGAAAAACTATAATCTGAATAACTGGCAAGAAATGTTGCATTGAGGCAGTCACAAAGTTTATAGAAACAATTAAAAGCAAATGGTTTTCCTAAATGTTAGTGGTTAGTTTACTGATTTCCCAAGAACAACATACTGCATAAAGTGTATCTGCAAATATATACATTTATGTATATGTGTATATTTACAACAGTGTAAATGTATCTGTGCAAATATTAGCACAAATTAAATGGGCACATTCTATATTATTAATTTGTCTTTGAGTTAAACATTTAGAATTTATCATTAGCCACATGAAATGATTCATATAAACAGTATGTTCTGGACACAGAATTTAACCAATATTACTCATATGCAGTATGCTCTCATACTGACTCTCAAGTTAACCTAGCTACTTCCAGGGCTGTAGTTACAAGTTAAAACCAGGTCATGTAAAAGCACAGAAGTACTGACACATAACATTTAACTATGTAAGTTTAGATAAGTCAGTTAAATTCTAACTTTAGTTAAACTTTAATTTTGTTAACCATAAAGATAATATTTGCAGTTGTAATTGTAATTAAACCTAACTGCACACTAAAACTTTTTTTTTAAAAATCAGCAATCCAATTTTTAGACTCATTTCAATAATTCAGGAAGAAATTAAAGCGGTTTATATTTATCGTTTGTTCAGTAATTAATATGTATAACATTTTAAAATGGCTGCATGTTGTTCAAGAGAAACTAGAAAAAAAAAAGTGTAAGATAATCTCAGCTATTTTAAAGTACTGATCAAGATACTTGATGCCAAGTCTTTAAAAAAACGCCCCCCAAAAAAACCGAATTGATGCCGTTACTGCTGCTTTAATTCAGCAAAAAATACAAGCCAAGAAAAGAAATTTACTTTTTACATAAAGCCAGTGTAACTTTACCTCTTAAGAAAATAGTTTTACATTAAACACAAGAAAATTCTTCTCTAAGTAGGGAAAATGTTTTACAGAAAGACAGAAAATAATCTTAACAATAAAAAGCCAACTAGAAAAAAGACACAGAAAAAGCAACCAAAACAATCTTGGCACCATGGTATCACTACATCTACATTCCAGCAAGTTTGGAAAAAGAGAAGTTAGTAGTGGCTGAGTTAGCAACATACCAATGCGATTACTATCTATATGTCTGCGCACTGCACTGCACGCCGAGACCGCACGCCTCTGAGGGCGCACTGAGTCAACGTCGGACCCATTGGGGGAGCGCCTTTGGAGGGCACTATGTGAGGAAGAGCGTCTAGGCCGCTCAATGGGCTGGCAGATGTCTCGAGGGGTGGCACTACCAAAACCTAACACATGTCCCCTCCCACCTTTACGACCTCCAGCCTTCCAGGCCTCGTAGCGAGCGACACGCTCTTCAGCTTTCTGTAGGATGGACTCGCGGCGGGCCTGAAACAGATATGCAGACGGGCACATTTGTTTAGTGGAATAATCAAAACATATGGTCACATTTATGAGTAACACTTTAAACATATGGTTATATTTATGAATGAAAGTCGAAACAGATGGCCACATTTTAAAGTGAAACAGTTAAAACATTTGTTACATTTACGAGTACAGTCAAAATATGGTTAGATTTATAAGTGAAATAGTTAAAACATACGGTTACATTTATGAATGAAATAATCAAAAATGTATGGTATATTTATAAACAAAACAGTCAAAACAAATGGTTACATTTGTGAGTGAAACAGTTAAAACAGTCATATTTATAAACAAATTCAAAATGGTAACATTTGTGGGTGTGTCTAGCCAGTCATACCAGGAAGGCTGGATATCTGTCAATTCAAGACCTTCCCTGAAATGAGGCCAGAATTGCAACAAAATTAGTCCTGTGCCCACCCAGCCATATCAGGAAGGTTGGGCCCTGCTAGTTCCAGGGATGTAGCATCAGATATCAAGCAGGTGAAAGTGTAATACCTGAGCACAACCAAAAACCCAAGGCCATAGTATCCTATTCAACCCACAGTAACAGTTTATAGTTCTGTGATGATTACTCCATCTGTTCTAGAGATATTACTCTCTCTCTCACTCTCTCTCTCTCTCAAAAAGGTGCACCAGCGGTCAGCCAGCTGAACTGACGATATGGGGAAAACCCATTATAACTTGAACACCGATACTAACATGTTTTACCCGAAGCTGAACGGAGAGACGGAGAGAGCGTTGGACATGGACGTGTGAGGCTGAAGACATTTAGAGACGTGATAGATTGAATTGTGTTAGGAGTTGAAAGATAGGGACTATTAGCATTGTCGTCATATGTGTTAATTAGCTGTTGGTATTCCTTGCATGCTTTTAGTATTCTAAGACAGTTGTGTTGGTGTTGTGTCGTGCGTAAGTAGTTGTTGTTATCTATGGGTTATTAGAGTTTAGCTGCGTTTTGTGCTGGCGTTGACACTGTCCGCTAATACTTAAACCACTCACCCTGCGTGTGCCACTGGGTCTCGCATGGCGAAGACCGCAACCTAGTTAGCGCTGTACCACAGTGAGGTGGAACAGTGTCCTCTGGTAGATCCATGGGAACGGCTCGGGGTCGATAAGTAAATATAAATGCTGCCACTACTGGCGTTTCGGATTAGGGACTGTCCATAACTGCTGAGGTTGCTTTAGGTTGTATTGTTTTTTTTTTTCATTAAAGATGATGTGTGTACTCAATAAGTGTGCGTTTAAGGTATGTTCTAGTATAGTGTGTCTGTCACAGGGCCGTACAACGAGATGCAGTTAAGTAGTATAGATACAAGGTCTTTAACATCTATACCTTCACACTTCATACTGTAGCCGACACACTAATGTGTCATGACACAGATTCAAAGGCTCTACTTGAATGTGTTGCTACACAGTTCAGTAAGCTCTGTCATAGAAGAAAAGTTTTGTTTTCCCCAACATTATGATGATTGGCACTTTTCCGTTTGGAGCCGCGTTAGCGCAGTGTCGATAGGAAGCTGGCTCTCTTTCAAATTCAGCTGCAACTCGCTGCAGCCAGGGTCGGTGTTCGAAACCAGGCGATTCCCGGGGTTCACCCAGCCTCTAGGAATCGGGTACAAGAGCTGACACTCTGAGATGAATGGAGGAACGTCGTTGTAGCCACGGAGTTACGTGTGGACGGCGACACAGGCAGACAGTTTCTTATCAGCTGTCTGTACTGGTGGCAGAGCACTTATGGTTTATAACCGTGTGCAATGATGCTGGTTCACACCTCCTCACTTAACCTTTTTTACCTTTACCTTTCTGTCTTTCCAGACGATAGGGTTACACTGCACTATGAGAAGGCATGGGACTCAAAGCCTATTGTGATGTGAAAGTTTTAAGCAAAACCCGCCCACATTAAGAAGTCTTCCACAATTATAGCATGAGATTTCAGGACCGTTGGTGTCAACATTTGAGTTTAGTCTGTTTCTTCTCAGACTTTATGACATGGATGTTAATTGCAGCAGTAGGCAGTCTGCTGGAGATGCTGTGTGTGTCAAAGAAGTCCTTTCTATCTGTAGAAAATTCATAGCTCAACCTACTCCATGGGTAGTGTCTTGCCAGCCCCATTGCAATGCCAGGCAATCCTTAGCAATAATGATCTGCAAGCCAGCAGCAAGACCTGAAACTGTCTCTGATAGTCAGTGTCCCACCAATAAAACAGAGAAGCGATTCAACCTCAAAATACAACACAATAAATTAACTATATGTGATGTCAATGAACCATGGAAAAAATATTACTATAAATTAACAAGATGTGCTACCACTGAACAAATAAATATACATTTTGATAAATTAATTAAAAGTACTCCACTAAATCAGAAAATAAATATTGTTATAAATTTACTAGGTGTGCTGCAACCGAATCATGGAATAAATGTATTATAAATTAACTAGGAGTGTTTCATTAAATCACGAAATAAACATTACTATGAATTAATTTAGTGTGCTATAAGTGGAAAAAAAAAACATTACCATACTAAAACTTTAGCTGCTGTCAATGAATCATGGACATCATCATCATCAAGTGCATTGCCGACTGGCGTGGGCGATCATGCCTCTCCACAATCTGCGATCTGCAATTGACTGCATCAGTTTGTGTGTTACACCCTCCATGCCATGACAAAAGGTTGTTGAGAATCTTCTCACTCTGTCTTGCTCTGTCTCTCTTTCCACAAATCTTTCAAGTGGTTACAGCATGTTCAATTTTTCCTCTTCTCATAACATGGCCAAAAATGATGACTGTCTCTTTCTGATGATTGTAATAAGTTGTCTTCGAGCACCTGCCTCTTTCAAAACGTCTGAGCTACTCTTTTTAGCTGTCCAAGGCATTCTTAAGATTCTTCTGTAAAACCACATCTCTGATGCCTCAAAATATTGTTCGGCCCGTTTATTAATTGTCCAGGATTCACAGCTTATGTTAAAACTGGCTCTATATAGTTTGCGAGAATTCTTTTCCTAACCTCCAATAACATAGATTTATTGCACAAAATGTTTGTTTTATAAAAGGCAATTTGGGCCTGTTCTATTCTGTCCTTTACCTATGCGATACTTCCATCGCAAGTTATTCATGTGACCAGATACTAAAATTTCTGTACTTAATTTATGGTAATCTTTATGTAATTAGGCTTGTCTGTGATTGTCTGTGATTGACTGCCTTTAAAACAATCACAGACAAGCCTAATTACATAAACATTACCATAAATTAAATCACACTACCGAATGAATAAGCTTGACCATAACTTAATTATCTGACGTGTTACTGGACTAAAAACAAGCCTACCTGAGTAAATCTTACTATAAATTAACCAAGTGTGCTATAACAGAATCATTAACATGTTTTATATTTTTAAAAATGATATTAAATTAGCTTAGTGAGCTATGGATAACTCACAGAAACACCGCTCCGAAATAAAATAAGAAAATATTATCTATATTCATCATCATCATCATCCTGCTGTGCCACTATATGTCGCACAAGGCTCAAAATTGATTTCTCCAGTCTGTTCTCTGATGTGGAATCCTTTGGATACCATGTACATGGATGGAACCCAGTCTAGCACCTCTGGCCTCTCATTAATTTCCTCAATGTCATTTCCTCAATCAATTGCTTGCTATTTCAGTGCCTGTTTTGTGATTCTTTACTCCCTTCTTGTGAGGATATTTCAATCTAGCACCACCTTTGCCTCATTTAAAACTGTTGATACCAGTGGCTGTCCAGGAATTTCTCTTAATTCTGTTACCTTTCTTGACAGCATCCCATCGAATGTTCATCAGTTTAAAATATGTTTTTGAATGCATTTTATCTTTCAGTCTATGTCTTTAGCTGGTCTCCAACTTGCACTAGCATATATTAAAAAAACTTGAACATTAGAATTGTAAATTCACAACTTGGTTCACAAACTATATCTTTTATTTCCATATTTTGTTCAGGCTTTTAAAGGCCGCTGTTGCAATACCAGTGTGTGGCATAATTCCTTTCTTTGTGTTTTCTGGTCTATCAAAATTACAATCTAAAAAGGTAAACCAATCTGTTACTTCAATTCTTGTTGTCTATCTAAATATACTGCATATATACCTCTACTAAAACTGTGCACTTACTTTTTCCACTTCTTCTTTCATCTTCCTGCGTTCCTCCACGGCAATTCTTCGCTCTATGTCTCTCTTCCTCAGGTCATCAATCTTCCTTCTCCTCATCTCCAGCTGCTTTTCCCTATTTTCTTGAGCCATCTTCTGCTGCTCCCTTAGTTCATCAAGCTTTTTCTGCCTCTCCTCCAGCAGTCGTTCTCGAGCCTGCCTCACACGCTCCTCTTTCTCGCGTTCTTTAGCAATTTTGATGGGATCAGCAAGCATGCCAGCTGAGGGAAGCCACACACAGGCAAAACAAATGTGTTAAATTAATCCTTCAAGGACAGAAGAGAGAGAGAGAGAGAGAGAGAGAGAGAGAGAGAGAGAGAGAGAGAGAGAGAGAGAGAGAGAGAGAGAGAGAGAGAGAGAGAGAGAGAGATAAACAGATACTATAATGGCAGAAAGTTAAAATGAGGAAAATGAGTAATGGTAATCTTAATCTCTCTCTCACTCACACGCAAATAACAGTCATTACGGACTGTATTTATGAACGAACGAACTAGGGCATAAACTAGGACGCTGTAGGAAAGGGAAGTATTGAGCCTGAGAACTTAGAGCCAAGTGACTTGTGCAGTCACCTTAGATTTTATTTCTGCCCCCAACAGAAAAAATCCACCAAACTTATCGAGGATTTGAACCAGTTTCCTGAATGAGAGCCAAATATTTTGAACCATTCAGCTAGCCACTCCTCTATATGACTATAAGGTTTAAAAAAAAATATAAAGGGATTATTTTTTACACTAGGGGCATGTTGTCATTTGATACCAGAATCATACATTTACAGACTAATCAATACTCAATGGGTGATGTGGACGACATCATGTCGGATAAGTTTAATGGGTCAAAATATAACAGCCTCATACGTGACTCCAGCCTAAAATGGGTATCAGTTAATGACCTAGTTTTTAAACAAGCAGCAGCCATAGTGTTGAGGATAACTCTGATTGAGAACTGACTGATCTATAAAAATATGAATCTAGCATCATTTGCCTAATGTGGCACTGGCGAGAAAATTGTCTTTTTATGCAAATTGCTCCGCATCTTTTTCACATCTCTTATTCTCTTCTACATGTGTTTCTTTGGCTGTCTTCACTTCTGCAGCCCTGTGAGTTACGGTGCAACGAAATTCTAGTTATATTACCAAGTTTTCTCCAACTATCTGGCATTTTCTCATTTCTACATTCAACAAAATATGTGTGGGCATCAGCCTGCTGACCTGAAAATCTTGGGTTTGAATCTGCATCGGGCAGATGTGAACTTTGTAAATGACCTTAGCTCCCAGACTGACCAAGATTGAAATTGGTACCAAGTAATCCTGAGAAGTAAAGGAGGCTGGCACAATGCTGATCCCATTGTCCACCCAATGATGGTCAGTTGGTCTATATAAAAAATATGAGTCATCATAAATGTCCCGTGTGGCACTGATGTGTAAAGGGTCCTAAAAATACTGCCCCTAAACCTTAAGATGCATACTAGGTAGGTATTTGTTGCTGGCATGTATACAGATGAATGCAAACTAAACAAGTGATGTAGTCAACATCAAGTTGGCCACCTTTACATTCCAAGATATTTCTTGGCACCTACTTCAGGCACCAGAACCATACACCTTCAAAGCATTTTGTTTTTCTCTCAGAAATCTGTAAATCTAGCAAAACACTAAAAGTTTTTGGTTAGTCCAGGACTATTCAAATGGCAGCCCATGGGTCAAATCACAGGGACCTAGCAAGTGGGCAGCGAATCACTACCAACTGTATTGTACTCATAATCTTTCTATGCACTTGCCTCAGGCCTATAATGATCTCCATTTCCAACATGCTGGCCTCTAATTAAACTTAACTGAATAGTCCTGGGTTAGTCCACGTAAAAGTTAACATTAAAAGTTTTATGACACCAAGGGCATATGATGCTACACTCATGGGTTTATAGACTACTTAGCCTTGAATAAATTATGTGGTCTCTATATAAAAAGACAGCCATACTTCCTAGATCATTTTTCTGGTACTCATTATAGGCTGATTTAACCTGGGAGCTAAAGTTGGTTTTAAAAAAAACTGCCTTTAAGTTCAAGCAAATGATCACATGAGTAAATCATTTATAAAAAGGAGGTTAAAACGCAAAAATGTACAATGAAAAAAGTATAGTGTCTAAATGTATAATGTATACAAAGGGGTGGGGGTGGGGGGGGGGGGGGGGGAGACATAGATAACAGAAAAAAACTATTTTTAAAAAAAAAACACTTAAACAAAAAAATCTTGGGAAAAAAATTTAAATCAGAATTACTAAAGTCACGGTCAATGAACAATACACAGAAGCTAATGAAATTTTTTTAATTGGATATAGGTAGATAAAGAATAGTATTTTGGTGGCCAAACATAAGCAGCAGAAGCTGCAGCATCGAAATAGACCCTTAGAGACCTTTATATCAATATAAGAGAAAATGGCAAAAGGAAACAACCAAATGAACTGATCAGTTTTTACCAACACTGAAGTTTAGATGAACAGATTAACTGAATACTTTGGGTGAGGGGGGAATGGGGGAGGGTCCTCTTTGGCAAAGTGGTTGAAGCCATTTGCCATTCGTTCTGAAGATCATGGGTTTATTTTATACATGTGTGGTTTCAACTCGTAATTGCAATTTCTGTTAGCTGCCTAGGGATCGTCCCTCAAGCTACGGTTTTTGTGCTTTAGGTAGGCAGCTAGCTATTCTGCAGAGAGAGAGGCTCAGCTGAATGGGATAAAACTGGTTCAATGAAGGTGATCCTCCCGACGTTACTGTACTTCTGAAGGATGGAAAAGCTCCTGGTCCAGATTCAACAAAATAACAGGGTCTTTATCGAGCATAGTGTGCAAAACAAGACTGAATGTATTTTAGCCTCTCCTGCTCAATTCTATATTCCCTTCATGCGGTGGACCCTGTCCTCCCTAGTAATCCATCCTCCAGCGGTAAACTAGGTGGGATAACAAACACAGTAAAGGTAAAATTACTAAAACCGTCGCCAGCTACTGAATTGTGTGCGTGCTGCGACACTGTTCCACAGAACTGGCAGTGTGCCTTGTGCAATAATATGTGTGCACCTGCTGGTTTTGCAGTGACTTCTATCAACAATGAATAGCAATTCTAGTGACAGACTGTAAGTTCTGGCATCTCTGGCAGCTGCCTTCTGCACATGATTTTGCCTGAACTGCCATCTGTTTCACTTTTCACATGGCAGAGCAATGGTCACTGTGTACGGTTTTTCACTGGCACAAAAAAAGGTAACTATGGGGCAATCTATCAGCAATGAAGTCAGAACCCTAACTGAAAGCCTGATAACTACACAAATGTTAGCAACCTTAGAAAACATAAAATGGAAATATCAACAAGAATTAGAAATATAAATAGACAGATTTACCAAACACCAAAAAAAATCATAAATGGCAAAACAAATGTTGCTGCTGAAGAGTTTGTCAGCATTCAGCAACACTGATAAAGATACAACTAACAGGAACTGACCGTTTGCATGTTTCCCGCCACAAGTAGAAACTAAAGGATATCAACTACGGGACCCAGGCACCAAACAGGAAAATGAACGAGGCAGCACAATATGCCCCTCCCTACCTCTCAACTTGAAAATTTCAGTTTTACAACCTGTTGTCTCACCCTTACTCGTGGAGTTGCTGGGAATGCTGCCATCCCATGAGGTTTTCATGTCCAGCGTGCTGAGGTCATGAGGTTTTGATGAGATCTGAGGGTTGGAGGCTGAGTTTTTGCTCTTGGTTAACGATTTTCTGGGTGTGGACTCTGCGCTGCTGTCAAAGGAAACCATCCGCTCCCTAAGTTCATCTCCATCTGTGTTATATTGGACTATTGAGGGAAAAACATACAATAACAATGAGCTGCTGTGGAATATTAAGCAATGATGTAGTTATCTGTTAGTAATAACATGTGACGGCAGAAGTGAAACAGAAGTCAAGAAAAGAATAGGGATGGCCAAAAACATTTTCAACAAAATGCAAAGGTTACTGACATCAAGAGAAATAAGCAATACATTAAAAATGAGAATTGTCAAATGTTATGTATTCTCAACCTTACTGTATGGCACAGAGACATGGACAATGAACAAACAACTGGAAAATCGTATCAATTCTTTGGAGATGTGGATATACAGAAAGTTAGGTCTATTTCATGGAAACAAAAGCTATCAAATACAGAGGTACTGAGGAAATTGGGAATGAAAAGAAAGTTGCTAGGTGAAATAAAAAAGAGACAAGTGAAATATTTTGGTCACATTAAAATACATAACAGTATTGTAAAGATCATCCTAGAGAGAAAGGTTCAAGGTAGGCGAGCAAGAGGCAGACAGCATTACAAGTGGGAGGATAACATCAAGAGATGGACGAACAGCAGTATGAGTGAGTGTACATCAAGGGCAAGAGACAGGGCTTGTTGGAGATCCATTGCAGCCAATCTTCATTGTGGAGACGGCACCTGATTGATTGAGTTATCTGTTATCTTGTCTTCTCCTTGGTGTTCAAGGGGAAAACATACAATAACAATGAGCGGTTGTGGAATACTAAGCAATGATGTAGTTATCTGTTATCTTGTCTTCTTGGTGTTCAAGGGGAAAACATACAATAACAATGAGCTGTTGTGGAATACTAAGCAATGATGTAGTTATCTGTTATCTTGTCTTCTTCTTGGTGTTCAGGGGGAAAACATACAATAACAATGAGCGGTTGTGGAATACTAAGCAATGATGTAGTTATCTGTTATCTTGTCTTCTTGGTGTTCAAGGGGAAAACATACAATAACAATGAGCTGTTGTGGAATACTAAGCAATGATGTAGTTATCTGTTATCTTGTCTTCTTCTTGGTGTTCAGGGGAAAAACATACAATAACAATGAGCGGTTGTGGAATACTAAGCAATGATGTAGTTATCTGTTATCTTGTCTTCTTCTTGGTGTTCAGGGGAAAAACATACAATAACAATGAGCGGTTGTGGAATACTAAGCAATGATGTAGTTATCTGTTATCTTGTCTTCTTCTTGGTGTTCAGGGGAAAAACATACAATAACAATGAGCTGTTGTGGAATACTAAGCAATGATGTAGTTATCTGTTATCTTGTCTTCTCCTTGGTGTTCAAGGGAAAAACATACAATAACAATGAGCTGTTGTGGAATACTAAGCAATGATGTAGTTATCTGTTATCTTGTCTCCTTGGTGTTCAATGGCGGTAGATTCCAGCAGAAAGTTTGGGTTATTCGTTCACTTTCGTCTAGTTCCAGAACCTGAGTTTTGCATGCACATACATTTTACAAATCTGGATTAACTGTGTATGCCAGCTGTTGGTTCCTCACCTCATCCCAAATAAGTCGGCTTTTACAACATGCTTGGGAGATAGTGGGTAATCCACCCCCCCCCCCCCCCCCCCCCATCCTCCCACAAATGGGACCTCAAAACCCACACAGAAAGTTAGTTGTAATAAACATAGATGTACACAGATTTTACTGGGCCCTGGTCAAACTCACAGAAGCTCAGTGTCCCTGTCATATTTATATACCAACTACAATTAATGGAAAATTCTAGCTCTAGACATCTTGTTTTTAAATCAATATCTATGTACTTTCTCCTTCTTCTCTTCCCACTCTTATTATCTTGTTGTTTGGTTGTGAATATTTCATAAGACTTAAATAGACTGAGGAATGACAACAAATGTATCATCAGTCTGCTCAAGTCCCAGCACATCTGCATTTCCTAAGCCATGATGTCACAAAAAAGGAGTGGCAGCAGCCAATCTATCTGCTCACTATTTCCCCACAAAGCAAAATTTCCAAGATTGTGCTAAAATAGCAAAAGTTGGCATTTGTGGCATACAGGTTATGAATGCGGTCTGTAACTCTGCTATACCTGGGTTGATTCAGCTGGAAGCAGAATGCTCTGCAATGATTTTTAAAAATATTGTGAAGAGCCACCCATTCAGTAAGCAATGGCAAACTACTGATTGTAAAATTGCCTAGTAAAACCAAAAACACAGCTAACAAATGCCGAAGTTGGTTTGCTGATGTTCTGTAAAAGATACACAACTTTATAACATCTCACAACATTAGCATTACCTTTGTGGTGTTTTGGTGATGTTTCAGAAGTGGGAGCCCCATCATCATCATTATCCATGTCAAAGTGCCTGGGCGAAGAACTGGCTACTGTTGTAAAGGTTCCCTGTGTCCCCACAAATTCAGGGAGGTCTGCATTCGAAAGTTGTGAAACTGTACTGCTGTCATGTTCTGTGGAAGGAGGAGATCAAATTAGTTGGTTTGGTGTGTGAACAACAGCTGCCAAAACTGACCTCTAGGCCTTGATGATCACAAAATTGTTAAAACACATTTACTAATACACAAAGCCACATGCAGATAGTCAACTCTTCGGCCCCAAAAGGTTTTGTGCAAAAATAATTATTGTTTTCATTAAATATTGCCAAGACAATTCTAAACACATTCTGTGTTGTAAGAATGAAAACAAGAAAAAAAAGACACATCTGTAGTTGCCAGATTTATTTATTATACACCGACCAAAACTTCAATATAAGAACACACTTGATGTGATGTTTGAGACGTGCGGAATAGTCAGTAACACAGCATGCATTGTTTGGGACTGAAAGAGCTACAGTCAAAACGATCAAATTAATTCTACTGAGTTGTATCCTATTTTGCTCAGTCTCTGTAAAAACAGCACTCATGAGCTGAACAATGCAGCCTCTTCATGTGGGTTGCTGGGCCCCATTTGTAAGTAAAGAGAATATTACCCCCCACCCCCCACCGCATGTCATAAAAGGTGACTAATTAGGGATATTTCATTTGAAGTTAGAGCGTATCAGCTGGTGAGGCTAGAAACAAACAGTCTGCATTCAAATGAGTCAGATCTATAAAAGCAAAACTAGAGTTCTGGAACTAGACCAGAGACCCCCAAAGTAGATAAACATACCAGAACTTTCCATCAGAGTTGACAGCTGGTGAATGCTAAGAAAAAGAAGAAGAGAAGAACCATGCAGCCATGAAACAAACCTATGACCTTCAGGATACAAAGCTAACAGCTTGACCACTTTGCCACAGAGACCCCTGAAGTTTCCCCTAAGGCTCATTTCTTCTTCTTCTTTGCATTCACCAGCTGTAAACTCCAGCTGAAAACTCTGGTTGTTTGTCCACTTCTGGGCTTTTGTCTTGTTCCAGAACTTGAGTTTTGTGTGCACATCCATTTTACAGACCTGGCTTATTTGTATGCAGACTGTTGGTTCTTCGCCTCTCAGGCAGATACACTCCAAATTTCAATGAACCTATGACTTATAATAGGTAGTTTAGGTTAATTTGAATTTAAACACCAATTCCTTCTCTTGCCAATTCCTCTACCTAATGTATTTTCCATGTCCAGGGTTGTCAGTAATATCTTTTATCTTCTTCTGTGTTTGCCTTTAACCCTTCACCCCAAAAAAGTAATTAAAAAAACAATTAAAAGCAGACACTTCCAGTTCCCCATAAATGTCACTTTTCCAACTTGCCCATCAGGACCTGTTTACAAAAGGATCAGGTAATACAATTGTCTGAGTTCACGTCTATGCAAATGTTCAGGTCAGGATATGAATAAATTGACTATCAATAGCATTTAGAAGGTTTTCTTTGTGCTAAAGGGTTTTTTCAAAGCTAAGATGAGGTCAGATTTTCTCATAAGCCCACAGAGTCACTGCACTAGTACCTGATAAGTGTGTGTTTTTAATACCCCAGGAGATGTATTTCATTTAAGGCTTCACCCTGTTCATGTTTACTGATTACCCCTTTCATATATCTTTACATATTTTGAAAAACAAAAATGTTAAAATGTTGATAAATGAACTTTCAACAAATTTAATGGTGACATGTAAAAACTGTTTTTAACAGATTCTTTTAGGAATCCAAACGGGGTTATGACCTATTTTTCCTCTGGGAGGAAAGGGTTAAGAGGGTGATTCTGCTGTGGTCTGCAGCTAGGTGGTGATATCTTCACCTTCTGGCCCACTACATTTGGTGGATCTATAATAATTTTCCTAAAAATGGGACCTGGAGCCTACACTGTGTAATTGAGAATATCTCTGTGCTGGTCCAATTCTGCTTCCACAAGCATACCTTTCATTACTGTCATTCAAAACCACTGCAGCATTCAATATGAGAGTCATAATTCAGTTGCTGAGACCTGATGTCATTGAAAATTTTTTTTTCCAATGATTTATATTTTGATGTTTTTTTTTTTTTTTTTTTTGCATTCCTCAATTCTCAATTCTTCCAAATTAAATTTTTTATATTTCAGTGTTTTCTTTTCTTTTTGTCTCTGTTTCCATTCCAGTCAGGGAATGTTGGATGTTGTCCTCCCAGTAAACTCTGGGTCAATCTGGAGGTCAGGTTTCCTAGTTCTTGGCCTCCCATGCCTGCTATGGTGGCCGATTCTTTCCTATTCTGCGTACATGTCCAGACCATCATATATGTGACTGACTCACTCAAGATTTTAAAGCCTGAATCATGAAATATTGTCTGGTTGTGAAGTGAAAACTGCTGACAAAGAAATCCTACTATCGACTAAGTTAGTTTACTTCAATCCTTAGACTTTCAATGTTAATTCACAAAACCTCATTACCAAAATTTCCATGTCACCCAAAAAAATCAAAGGTTTGTGTTATATGAAATGAATACATCCCTACAGGAACCTAAAATCTGTTCATGTTAACCTAGTGGTCTTCTAAAGTAAGTTTGTATTAACGATGCTTTACTGTACTTTCTTCTTCAATGTTTGTATCTTGAATATCAATATTTTTTCTACTTCAGCAGCCTTGTGTAAGATAGGCCTGCGTGTCCTAATTCTTCTTCTTCTTCTGCCTTTCTATCCCCCAATGGAGCATAGGCCCTCAACCAACTCACGCCAAGTCGTTCTATCCTTCGCCATTGCATGGAGCTCTCCCCATGTCCACCCAATCTTTCTAACCTCGTTCTCCTGCTCTCTTCTCCATGTGTTTTTTGGCCTTCCTTTATTCCTATGTCCCTGTGGGTTCCAATGCAAAGACATTCTAGTAATGCTGTTCTCCTGTTTTCTCAGTGTGTGCCCTATCCAACGCCAGCATCTTTTCCTCACTTACTGATCCACTGGAGCCTGTTTAGTTCTCTCCCAAAGTTCTACATTAGTTATTCTATTATACCATTTTATTCCCTCTATTCTGCGCAGGCACCAGTTAATGAATGTCTGTAATTTATTAGTAATTGCCTTGGTTGTTCTCCATGTTTCCGCCCCATACAATAGTACTGATTTGACATTAGAATTAAAAATTTTTAGTTTAGTATTTCTTTTAATTTCTTTTGACCTCCACAAATTCCCTAGTGCTATGAAAGCCCCTCTTGCCTTTTGTATTCTTATTTTAATATCTCTATCAGTTCCTCCATCTTTATCTACATTACTGCCCAAATAGGTGTACGACTCCACGTCTTGGAGTGGGGTGCCATTAAGAGAAACCACATTACTATTTGCCTGATTTATTCTCATTATCTTTGTCCTAATTCTTAACTCTGTGAAAATAGGTTTGTCTGTCTGTTTGTTCAGTATTTTTTTCTTTAATAATGATCCTGCTGAAAGTTAGTATTTGTTTCTTCCATTTTTCAGACCTTGTAGAATGTCAATATGTTTTTTCTTCTTCTTCTTCCTTCAACAGTGAACATCTTCACTTTAAGACATTTGCTGCGAGAGAATGAACACCTATGGGTATGCCCAATGTGCTATGATGTTGATTCTTATCTTCTTCTTCTTCAATGTTCACATCTTGAATGTCAATATTTGTATTCATCAATGTTTACTCAGACCTTGTAGAATGCCAGTGTGTCTCTTCTTTTGCATTCTAGGTCACTACAGTCTGTTAACACAATGGCAGTTAGTTCTTCAGCAGATACTGCAGTACAGGTGTTCACCATTAATCCTCCTTCATATTCAGGAGGGCATGTCTATTACTGACTCTTAATATGAGGCTTAAGCACTGGACCAGACAATAAGCCCCAACTGTTGCACATAGAGTAAGTAGGCTAAAGAACTCTAAATACCTGTGGTAGCTTAGTGATATAGCTTGAAGCCTAAAGCAGAGCTTCTCAATATTTTCAGACTATTTTGTAGGCAAGTCACAACTATTAACATGTTTACAGGTGTCAGTGCCATTCCATCATCATGTGCCTTGCCGATAAACATTAGGCTATCATGTTTCACCATCTCACACAATCAACAGACTCACAGATCAGGTCAGTGTTCCTGTCCTGTCACATCCACATGACCAAGCCATCAAGCCATTTATCTCTCTGTGTTCTCCTTGCTCTTTTTCAAGTAATCTTGCCAGTTGTAACCAAGTTCTCGAGTCAATTTCTTCTCATAACATGTACCTCAGTCTAACTTCTCTAATAAGTTCACAATTTCACCCATATCCAGATAGACTGCCTTTGTGAATATAGTGAACATCATTATCGGATCCTTAGGTGGGTTCTAGGGTTCCACTTTGGATGATGCCCCTACCCCAAAAGCATGTCGTAGGAAGCGACTAATTAGGGGTTTCCTTCTATAATAACATCAAGATCTGAACACTGAAGACTTGTTTACAGCGGGAAGCAGAACCTTATTTTTCCCTCAACACCCAAAGTTGTAAAAGAGGAAGTGAACAAAGCTGAGAGTTTGAGAAGAAACATGTAAAATGTTTTGGCAATGATGGTATGAAATCCCATGGACTTATTGAGGAAGACTTCTATTCACAGGAGATGGTCTTGCTAGTAATTTAGCAGACTAGACACTAAAGAAGAAAAATAATTACACTGTACAAGACCAAACACCCCTACATTCTACAAGTGCATCTGCCTGAGAGGCAAAGAAACCAACAGTCTGCATACAAATAAGCTGTAAAATGGAGTGTTATACAAGGAAGTGTCTAAATACTTGGCTGTTCATATTTTACCTATGTGCAAAACAAACAATACAGTTTTTAGGTGTATCTTCTTCTTCTTCTTCTTTGCACCGGCTGTAAACTCTGGTCTACATTTCTTATTGTTCGTCCACTTCTAGACTTCTCAGTCTGTTCCAGAACTTGAGCTTTGTGTGCACATATGCTTTACAGATCTGACTTATCTGTATGC